CACCCGTCCCTTTGGGAACGACGTCCCTGTGGGAAGAATGATTATAACAAGTTGATAAGTAGCGCTAGACTAGAAAATGAATCTGGAATTCCTCAAAAGGGACCCGTCCCGTTGGGCAGAATTGAAATAATCCGGGTACTTCCAAAAACAGAAAATATCTGAAGTAGAAGGATTAGAGATACTATGAGTCTGAAATTCCCCAATTTGAGGAATGAAGAAATTGAAAAACAAGAATCTGGAACTCCCCACAAGCACCTGTCCCTTTGGGAATGACAATAATAAATAGAGCAGTTATCAGAGGTAGAATCACTAAAAACATTGAAAAACAAACATGATTCTGGAACTCAACAAAAGGCACCTGCCCCTCTCGGAATAAGAATAATCATTATAATATCTACGATGAGTAGACAACATTTCCCAAACATGAATTTTCAATTTCCCAAGGGCACCCGTCCCTGTGGGAGTAATTAGAAAATTAGAGCAGTTAGAATAACCAGAATAATTGAACACACATGAACCTTCCCAGAAGGCACTTGTTCCTTTGAGAAGACTGATCATAAGAAGTAGAAGGGACCCGCCCCGTTGGCAATAATTGGAAACACGGGTAGTAATCCGAATTTCCCCAAATGTCCGCAAATTTGGGAATGACCAGTTGCAAAAACAAGAGCCTGGAATTCCCGTCCCTTTGGGAATGAGAATGATCAGAACAAGAAGCAGAATCAATAGAAAAAAACAATGAATCGGAATCCCCCCAAAGGCGCCCGCCTCTCTTGGAATAAGGAGAAAATCATGGCGATGATAAGTAGGCTAATATGCAAAACATGAATCTTCAATTCCCCAAAGGCCCGCCCCCTTGGGAATAATAAGAAACAACAGAACATGTAGAATAACTAGAAAGATTAGAGCAAACGTGAATCTGGAGATTCCCTAAAGCACCCGTCCCTTTGGGAGAATAATTATAATAAGTGAATGAGTAGATTGAATCTGGAATTCCTCAAAAGGGACCCGTCCCGTTGGGCAGAATTGAAATACTCCGGGTACTTCCAAAAACAGAAAATATCTGAAGTAGAAGGATTCGAGATACTATGAGTCTGAAATTCCCCAATTTGAGGAATGAAGAAATTGAAAAACAAGAATCTGGAATTCCCCACAGGCACCTGTCCCTTTGGGAATGCCAAGAATAAATAGAGCAGTTATCAGAACTAGAATCATTAAAAACATTGAAAAAACAAACATGATTCTGGAGCTCAACAAAAGGCACCTGTCCCTCTGGGAATAAGAATAATCATTATAATAGCTACGATGAGTAGACAACATTTCCCAAGCATGAAAGTTCAATTTTTCAAGGGCACCCGTCCCTGTGGGAGTAATTAGAAAATTAGAGCAGTTAGAACAACTAGAATAATCGAACACACATGAACCTGGAGATTCCCAGAAGGCACCTGTCCCTTTGAGAAGACTGATCATAAGAAGTAGAATTAGTGTAGCAGACAATGAATCTGGAACTCCTCAAAAGGGCCGCCCCGTTGGCGATACTTGGACAATGCGGATAGTTCCAAAACACCTGAAGTTGAATAAGAGAGAGACCATGAATCAGAATCTCCCCCAAATTTGGGAATGACCAGTTGCAAAAACAAGAGCCTGGAATTCCCGTCTTTTTGGGAATGAGAATAATCATGAGAAAAATATATCAGAAGTAGAACCAACAGAAACAAACTATGAACCTGGAATTCCCAAAGGCGCACGCCTCTCTTGGAATATGGAGAAATCATGGCGATGATAAGTAGGCTAGTATGCAAAACATGAATCTTCAATTCCTCAAAGGCACCCGCCCCCTTGGGAATAATAAGAAGCAACAGAACATTTAGAATAACTAGAAAGATTAGAGCAAACATGAATCTGGAGATTCCCTAAAGGCACCCGTCCCTTTGGGAAGAATGATTATAATAAGTTCATGAGTAGATGTGCTAGACTAGAAAATGAATCTGGAATTCCTCAAAAGGGACCCGTCCCGTTGGGAATAATTGGAATAATTTGGGCACGCCCAAGAACAGAACATATTGTACGTAGAGTAGTTAGAGAAACAATGAATCTGAAAGTTCCCCAATTTGGAGAATAAAGAATTGGAAAAAGCAAGAATCTGGAATTCCTCGCAAGCACCCCCCCCTTTGGGAATGACAAGAATAATGGGAAGACGTACAAGGCACCCACCTCTTGTGTAGTAATTGTTGTACCTAGAGCAACAAAGGTGCCCGTCCCTTGTAAATAACAATGATAGTAGTATTTTACAAGACTGATGATAAGTAGACTAATCAGCGAACGTGAATCTTGAACTCACTAAACGGCACCTTCCTGTTTGGGACCAAATAGAAAATAGGGAAATAATCTAGAACTTATTAAATGGGAGCTGCTCATTTGGGAATGGCTCGAATAGTTTGAACAATGCGGGAACCACGAATCTCGCCACCAACAGGCCCCATCCCTTTTGACACAATTATCCTACCCAGGGCAAACACGAGCTTGGAATTCCCCAAGACGCACCCCAGCTCCCTAGGGATTCAATTAGAATAATATAGAATGATTATGATAAGTAGAATACTTAGCAATCAGGGCTCTTGAATTCCCCAAAAGTCACCCGTCCCTTTGGGAATAATGATGAGAATTAGAAGAGTTATGATAAGTAGAATAGTTAGAAAACATGAATCTGGAATTCATCAAAAGGCACCCCACTTTTTGGAAGAAGTAGAATACTTAGATTAGTTCAAATAATTAGCACAAACATAAATCTGGAGTTCCCCCAAAGGCACCCGCCCCTTTCGCAATAAGTATGTAAATGAGAATAATTGTAATTTTGTGGGGAAGCATACCCAATAATTAAGACAGTAGGACAAAGATGGGTTTGGAATTCTCCAAAAGCAACCCGTCCCTCTGGGAAGAATTATAATAATTAGAACAAGTAATATAGTTATGATAAGTAGAATAGCTGGCAAACATGGATCTTGAATTCCACAAGACACACCCGCCCCTTTGGGAATGATTATAATGAGAATAAGTTGATTAGTTAGAATACTATAGTTGAAACACACATGAATCTGGAATTGGGATTTCCGAAAAGGCACCAGTCATTGGGAATAGCTAGAACAAAGGAACTAATTAGGGGCGGATTCCCCACAAGGGGCCCCGTGCCGTTGGGAATGCGTGCTACAACCAGAATAATCAGAGCAGAATGACCTGGAAACCACACTGGACTTCACCAAATGGCTTGAAAACAAAGAGAATCCTTAGATTTGCTTAAGTTGTTAGAATGAGTAAAATAATTAGATCAACCATGAATGTTGATTTCCCCAAAAGGTACCCTCCTGTGGGAATACATCAGAGAGTGATGATTGCTATGAGAAGTAGACCAACTCGAACACATTTGACCCAAAATGCACCCGCCCCTTTGCGAATAAATATAAATCACGTAGAATGATTCGAAAACACGTGAATCTGGAATTCGCCAAAGGGCAGCCGTCCCTTGGTGAAAAAAATGTAATAATCAGAATAGCTGTAAGAATTAGGACAATGCACCTGGAATTCCCCAGAGCGCGCCCGTCCCTTGGGTAATAAATAGAACAAGTATAAATTTCAATGAGCTAGAAGAAATTGTTTCGGAATTCCCCAACAGTCCCCTGCCCCTTTGGGAGTTTCTAGAATGATTCGAAAATTAAAAAGAAAAAGGGCGTTTTGTTTGTGTTAGTGTACTTTGTGTGTGTGTGTGTATTGCTTGACACTCTGTTTGAGTGCCCTTTGTGCTCTCAGTTCTCTCTCTCTCTCTCTGCTTGTGTTGCGTGCGTGCGTGCGTGCGTGCGTGCGTGCTTGCGCGCGTGCGTGCGTGCGTGCGTGCGTGCGCGCGTGTGTGTGTGTGTGTATCATGAGTGAGGGAAACATCCCCCCCGCGCGTACCACTTTGGGGGAAACAATCATCCCGCGCGCGCACGCCACATAGGACCTAATCTTCCCTGCCACCCCCCCCCCCCCCCCGATAGTTCGGGTTTTTGGTTTCCCCTTTCACCATCGCGGCTTCAGGGTCTCTGCAAAAACAGACAATCGCCTCTCTGCCATGTGGATGCGAAAGCCAGTTGCAATCTAGCGCTTCACCTCTTGTGGTCCTCAAGCCTTTTGGCTGCCGGCGGGGGGGGGGGGCTTGGGCATGCCCTGGCAGCGTGCTTATGGCAATGTTGCAGGAAAAGAGCAGTTGACGCCCTTCAAGGTTGACGCATGTGTCGAACATGATGTCTCGCCAGCAAAGGCGAAGAGCAGCCACAGCTAGCCAATTCGAGCCAGCCGTTTCCGTTCGGTATTTCCTTTTGGAAACCCGTCTGTCTTCTTTGAGGTTGGACCACCAAAGTGATGTGGTTTCCCTTTTGGTTTCCCTTTCAAACCACCCAACATGCGTCAAACAAGACACCCCATTTGAGAAACCTCCGTATGGCATTTTGAGTTCGACATGTCCAAATGGATCCTTGGCTGGTTTTAAGCAAATTGATCGCCTAATGTGAACTTCAGAAAAATCGAAGGGCCCCAGTAGCGTTAGAGGAACCCAAGCTCGCTCATGCCCTTGCTGGAAGGGACACAACCCTGGATTAGCACAGTGTTTTGCATTCGTCTGAACTTAACATTGATTATTCTGCACCATTGTGGATGGGCAAAGCCCACTTTGCACCAGTTGGGAGGGATAAACCTTATGAATACTGGAACAAGAGTACCGATCCAGTCCAGTGTTAGCATGCCATCCTCCGATTCCCAATCGGGTGGAAGTGCATACTTCTTCACACCCCTCGACTTCAAGTCTTTTGGGTCATCTCATGTTGACTTCAAGTCTTTTGGGCCCCAAGAAAAGGGGGGGTATGTCACAGGCGTGGGGGGGGGCATGAAAAAACGGGGTACACTTTCCGCAAGCAACTGGGTCCATCGAATGGAATCCTCCCATTCCTCGGGGTTCCTTTCGGAAGCGCGAGGCGTTGATCGCCTGGAGCCAGGCCGGATCGATCGCTGGTCACGGGGCAGCCTTGGTTGGGGGGGTACGTGGCTGTGGCACAAACTACAGGGACACTCCATTGATTGCTGTTGTTTGCGGATGCCACCCTTGAAGTGAGTATAGTACCCTAAAAGATGCAATTGCTAAATGTAGCGCGTGTTTCTTTGGATGCCAACAGGGGTCCTGTTTGAATAAACTCCCCGAAGAAGGACCTCGACCGCTTGGCCAAGGATTGGGGTGAGTTTGTTTTGTTTTGCAGGGACCAATTTGGGTGCCTGTTTTAAGGGTACCCCTTTTTGGTTGTTATTCAAGGAATTCCGGAAGGAAGACCGTTTTGGGGTCCAGGTCCAAATCCTTAAGCAAAGGAACACACCCATCTTCTCGAAAGGGTCGTGGAGGAAGCCTCTTGGCTTAACAAAAGAGGGAAGGGGGGGGTGGGCTTGGGGCAAACCATGGCTTCCAGGAATCCGGGGGGGCGAGCTCCTTTGCTTTTGGGGGAGCTCAGACGGTATTTGTTCAAGGGAACTTTTGGCACTGTCTGGGACCCGTACACCCTCTCGCCAGCCTCTTTGAGTCTCGTAGGAGACTAACCAATTCCGATTCGGAATTGTCAGCAACCCGAAGGCTCCTAGAACCCACAGAAAGCATGATAACCCCCCCCCCCCCTAAGGGAACCTACAAGAAAATGCCGGACAAAAGCCAGGTCAGGAGGGTCCTTAGGCGAGAGCAACACAACCGCTTTTTCCCCATGATCGCAGACAGCAACTGGGGTCGATTCCCTTTTGCTTACCAAGGTGACTTTAATGAGGGTGAGGGTACACGAATGGGTCCAGTACTTGGGCGGCCTACAAAAATTGGATTGTTTCACACCGGAATCGGACCCTCAAAATGATGTGTTTTCCGTTTTCTCCCCCCTTGACTCCCCAAAAAGGTAATTTCCATCCACAAAAAAGCCACTTTTCCCAAAGCCGACCCAATTTAAAGTTTCACGGCCCCAAAAAGGCGAAGCTTTTCTTTGTTGCTCCTTGGAAAAACCGTCACAGACCGTGCGCCTGGACGACGTGCACCTCGATGAGCTGCTGCTGCCGTGAGTTGGTTGGGCAACGGAAGGTCCGTGTTCGAGGTGCAAATGGTGTTTTCTTTCTTTTTCAAAGGGGAATATTGATTGGGTAAGGGACCAAAATGGTGTTTTGTTTCAAAATGCGTGTTGTTTCCTTGGCTCCCAGCCATCCGGTTCCTTAGCTTCTTAGCCTTTTGGTGTTTAGTGGAAACTATCCATTTAAACCCACTAAATGTTAAACTTTTAGCGGGGGATCTGAGGGCAGCCCAGTTTCTGGTTCAAAGGGAAAATTGATCGGGCAACGGACCTTTTGGGAACTGTTGTTTCTGTTCTGTTTCGAGGGAGCATTCATTGGGCAATGGACCTTTCATTGGCGTTTCAACATGTTGCTTCTCTCTCGGTTTTCAAAGGGAAAAGGACCACTGCTCGACAGATTCGTTCTCATTTTTGTGCGGGGGACTTAGTTCAGCAAATGGAGGATGGCTTCACTTCAAGGCCCTTGTTGCCTTGCCAAACCACAAGAAGGTCTGTGAGCGTTCATGTCAGAAGGTCGCCCAACCCCGGCATCCAGTTGAGTGGTCCCAAAGCCGTTGACTGTTTGAGTAAGGGTGTCCTCAAGTTCCCAGAGTTTCCCAGACCTGTGGGTCGCTTCCTTTTTTCAACTTGATCCGGAGGGGTGGTTCTCCTTAAAACTCAAGGACCAAAAAAGGAGAAGTGCCCTGGTTTGTACGAAATCCGCTGGGACACGGGAATTTGTCCTCAGGCTGCAGTTCCATTGGAACCATCTCAATCCCACCAGCGCCATTACCCTCTTCAGGGTGGTTTAAAGATCCAACTTTTTTGGGATTAACTAGCTGGTTTAGTGATAAATGGGGTGGGCATTTCCATCGCCACATTTTGGTGGTTTGGCGAACAGTCATCGACGCCTGGAGTTTATTCCCACACTCATTGTGTTCTAGGCGTAGCGCAAACAAGAGGCTTGCAAGAGAACAGCTTGGGCACGGGGCCGCGTGCTTTGCCGTGAGGGAGGTTGCGAGCTCATTTGCTCCATGCTACCTAGACGGCCATCTGCTAGCCGCAATATATATTTCTTTTTTTGCTGGTAGGAAGATTCCTTTGTAGAACATGAGCCTGCTGACAACACCAATGCGAGGTTGACAAACACCCCAAACAATACTTTGTTCAGCAATACTTTTTTTGCCCATCCACTAAATTTCAGATAGACGCTGCTTTCTGCGCTCAAAGAGAGCCTCGAGTTCTGAGCCGAACATCGGCTCGCGGCGAAATAGATCGATCGAGGCGAGCACAAAATTGGGCAAAGTTGGGCGGGCCCAGGAACATGCGTACGTGTCAAAATAGGGATTAGCACAAAAAACGGGTGGTGTCCTTCTGGTTCTCCTCGCAGAAAACAACCCCGAAAACGGTACCCTTAAAAGAACGTTTGATTCCTTTGATTCCGTAGACTCTGGACGTGCTCACCAGAGTTAGCGCAAAACCATGCGGAGTCAAATTAACCACTAGGGGACCGCGTGTTTTAGTCCATGTTTCAATTTACATGGTTCCATTTTGGGGGTACCCAATTTTTGACCCACAGCCATGTGATATCACAGAACCTCCTTTCACCTGACCTGCGGTCGGGTCACTTTGCGCCAGCGAACCAATGCAGTTTGGGAGCTCCCGGCCAGCCAGCAATCGGTTCCAAGGCGAGTTCCTGTTCCCTCAAAAAAAGGCCAAGGCCAACTAGAGCCTACCGGAGGGCCCCCTTGGAGGCAGGGGCTCCAGTCTTTGGAGAGGTTGTTTGGGTCCCTTAAAGAGGTGGTTCCAAAACTCGCGCTAGGGAATGTTACTAAAAGTACCCACGATCTCGCGGGAACATTTGAGGGTGTCAATTTCAGGTGTCCTGCCGAAATTTGAGTTGATTCGCCTGCCCCTGCCAGGGGAATCCACCCGAGGTTGGTTGGGGAATGGTTTTCCAGACGGGTTGGGTGTTGGCTGGTTTTTGCGCGTTTTGGCCTGTTGCCCAACGAGCAGAACCTTAGTTGGTAGCTTGGATTGGTTGGGCAGACGGACTTTGCCCATGGTAGAAGGTAATGTTGACCCCGGATTAATAAACCCCTGTTTGTTAATATGGGGTGTTTTTCTCCAAAAGTGATGAATCCCCACTAAATCCGAGGACACCCCCATATTGATAAACAGGGGTCTATTAATCCGGGGTCAACATTAAATGGGATTTCCCAGCCCTCCAAAACAGAGGTCTCCGACCCACAAGGGAAGAAGATGTCAACGTTGCGCAATCGGGCCCAACTCTGCCTCCCGATTCGCCGCTTGAATCCCGTCATCCTTCCTCACTCCCTCAGTTCTGGACTCACTTTTTGTGACATTGTAGGGATCGTTGTCAGCAACAATGTTCAGAGACTTTTGTGGCCAATCCACTCCCGAAATTGAATTTCCCTTCACCCCCGCCGTCCCTTAGGCCCGCCTGCGGTTCGGCAGTGCGCTTGAGAGAGACGAGGGTGTGGATACATCATGAGTTTTATACTGTCTACTAGTGTATTAATTTCAATTTGTACTACAACCTCGACCATAAGTATATGATACACCTGTTTTCCTGAACTGGAGTTTGTTTGTGCAAAATCCCTTCGCCCTCGTTGATAGGCGACTTATCCCAGTTCTCACAGGGTTTCAATCATGCTGGTGCGAAGTGGATTTTATCCATAGGTTTGAATGACCACAGGCAAATGGGGTTTGATTCAGAAAGTGCCGTTGCCTGGTTGGGTTGACTTTCTGTGAACCAAACGGAATCACCTTAATTACACATGGCGTCACAGGCCGGTGATATTCCAAAAGGTCCATGGAATTCCAAACGACTCGTCTACGGGTTCCCAGTGAAAAACACATGGCTTCAAGTTGGAGTTCCCATGAGCTTTCCAGTGCTCCCAGGCGTTTCGCGAGGGGGAACCATCCATGGTAAAACCTAGAGGGAAGAAAGCCCGAAAAGTTGCATGGCGAAACGCCGAAGGGAAGCGAATTTGCTTGCGCCTTGCGCAGGTACCATCCCCCGGCGAGTACTTTGCCATACGCGGCCCGGCCGCCGGCTGTGGCTCACGCGCCTCTGGCGCCGCACCCGGCGCCGCTGGCTGCGCCGCTGGCTGCGCCGCATGCACATCGTCCCTATGGGCCACCGCTTCACGCGGGCCATGCTGTTCATGCGGGCCATCCCCATGCACAGCAGCGGTATGGCCCGCATGGGCCAGGGTATGGACACGGCCATCGGCCGGCGATGCAGCTGAGGCCTAGGCCCAGCCAATGGCCGCAGCACCGGCCGCGGCCATACCTCCCACAAGCGCCTCCAATCCAGCATCATCCGGTGCATTTGCCACCGCCACATCCGCACCAGCCGAGCCAACCGCACCGTTTGCACCCGCACTTGCCACCGCACACACCACCTCATTACTACCCACCTCCAGGCTATCCGCAGTATTCGCGGTAGGCTTGATTCTTGCCGCTTGAGGCCCGGCATCCTAGCGAAAAGGTCGATAAGCAAAAGGGGGGACTGCGAAATGAGGCATGCCGATAGTAGCGAGCTCTTACTTCCAGAGTTTCTAGAAATGATACTTTGAGCGACGCGTTGTCCTGTGTGCAGTTGGGCCGCCTTCCTAATATGAGGTTCGCACATATCTAGCAGTTTGGGACGCGACTCACACAATTTCAGGCAAGAAAAAGACCTCAAGGGTAGAAAAGGGAGTTCGGAAGAGCAATGGGCTTGGGTCCTTTGTTGCTCCATATTTTTGTCAATTTCATGTGGTCCGTGGAGCTGACAAGACTATGGCTCACCCTCTCACTAACCTAACCTTACCTTGGCAGATGCCTGATTTTCGCGATTTTCCTCTACGAAGTCGCCCCTAGATTCCGTGCTAAAGCAGAAGGGTACATCTTTCAAGAGGGCAAGTGTCGGTTCAAGCCCCACACCAGACCCACATGCAGAAATATGAGGCTGGAGGGATTATTTTCTTTAGGGCTGTTTCTTGTCACCGCACATGTATTGCAGATAGTGATTACCGACCCTTGCGGTCCTGTAAAGGGTTTGATGGAAGCCGTGGTTCCGGAACCGGATCGCAAGGACTGCAAGGCACACGGATTGATCCCGGGATGCCTACAAAGGGTCCACGGCTTGTTTTCAGTGGTTGGGCAAATGGTTGAATTTTCACTGCATGGGTTCCGGGATATTATACTTTTTTGGGAAACCATCTTAGCGGCAAACAAACACTTTGGACTTTTTTGGGCCAATCAACTCAGTAAGTGAGATGAACCCCCTTGCACCGGTAAAGCTAGCCTCCTTGTTTTTGGGAGGGGATTGGCAGCGTCCAAAGTTCCAAGATAAAGGGTGCCTGCGAGTGCTGGGGACGACTTTTGATGAACGTTTTGTATCTTAGATGCCATTCTACGCCGAAATGGCTAGACTTTTAGTTGGGCATGGGCACTGGGACACAGTCCGAATTACATGGTTGGATTTTGGTCCATTGTTGCCATTCTTGAAGGGTGGTCCCAAAAAAAAGTCGTCGCCAAAATCTGACCCAAGTTTCAGAACGCTTTCTCCTTAGCCGTTACATCTCGCCCTTTCTTTTCTGAACACATTTGCCTGCTGCTGTTTTGTGTTTGACGTGACATCCACATTTGCTCGTCTTGAACAGAAGTCTCCATGCTCAAACAATTGAAGCACGATCTCTTGATCCCTTCACCGCATCGACGATCGCTATTCAACCAAAGCAAGCAGGCTCCGTCTACCCAAGTTCTCTGCGGGCTCCAGGGTCCCCGCCACTGGCGTCTCTGATCAGAAAGGCGAGCCGGTGGTGCGCGCTGTGAAGCGAGCCCCATCCAGACCGGTGTTGGACACCAAAGCAGCAGAGAAGGCGAAGCAGGAAGAAGCCAAGAACAAGGTGGACGTCATTGACGTGGACCAAAGGATGCATTTATTTGTAAGGACTTACCTTTAGGAATGGATGCCCTCTAGGCTTCAGGGAGCCCTGAAGATCGACCTCCCGATTTTCTCTGGTTGCGTGTGTTTAGCCCGGTTCAAATCAAGAAAGACCGTCCTTTTCCGTGGTTTTTTCACTTTTGAGACCCAGGCAATCCATTTTCCGCTTTATTTTTTGGGAACCCCTTGTCAGCATGGAACTCCACTCCCCCGGAACCCTCCCAGCAATGGGGCCCCGACGCTTAGGGCCCTCGCGGCGGGAGGCAGCCTGAGTTAACGCATCCGCCGTTTTCCCCCCGCGACGGCGGGGGCAACGGGGGGTTCCCGTCAGTGGATTCCAGGGGTTCGTATGTCGGTCGGTTGAGGCGAACGGTGCCCGTTTTGACAGTTTAAAGATTGAAACCAAAAGGACGCTCTCCATTTCAATGCGCGTGTTTTTGTTTGTTTTCGCCATGTTTGAACGCGAGTCTCCTTGTGGGGTGATGGTTGAAGGGGGTGATGGTTGAAGAAGGGTAAACCCAGGGGCACAAGAGCTAACCTTTCGGGGGGGTCGAAGTTCTACCCCCGAAGTGATGTCTGCAAGTGGCACTTGTGTCTCAATGGCCAATTTGTGGGTTCGTGACATGGTCAGTTTGTGACTTTCTGTGACACTCCAATTCGCAGGACAATTGAATTATTTCTTCCATGTCCTTTGAGGGAAACGCATATTGGACCTCCTGGCTCCGGGCCGCAAGAAAGCGGTTTCTTGAGGCTTTTGTCTTCGGGGTTGGTTTAATCGGACACCAGAAAGGTAGTATAAACCCATGCAAAAAGGGGCTTCAATCAGCTGAAGCATGAACAGATCGGATACTTGTATATTCCCAAACACTCTATGCCAGCACCCCTCGTTACCATCCGATTGGGTCAACAGTTGGTAGATATCACCTAGGTGGATTGTGTGGCATTGTAAACAAGTATCACATGGCAAATACGTGTCTTCCTTCCGAACCAGTGGAATCCACGCTTATTGGAGCGTCCGGCGTTCAGAGCCGGCTCTGTTCGGAGAAAATGAGTGCGCGCCCCATGCCACGCATGTTGTGCGAATTTTTGTGCGCTAGAGAACTCCGGCAGAAGACTTGGGATGCAAACAATGGGTGTGTCCTTTTCAGGAGAACCCTTATTTGGCTGGTTTCCAAGGGAAACCAAAAAGGACCAGTTGGAGGTTCCCATAAAGAAAGACACACCCAAATCTGAAAAACAACAACCTGGAGAAAAATTTTCCACAAAGGGCCCGCTTGCAAGTCCCCTGCTTGTCGGAGTTGTTTTTCTTTTTTTTTTCCCGTTGACAGATGTAGCCCAAGGATATAATTGGTTTCCTCATGACTGGGACACTCCTATCTAAATCAATCAGAACCCATGATTTGTTCCGAATACTGGCTTCCGAATGGACCAATCTGGAGGACTGTCACAGGATTTCCCTTGACATGGATCAATGGTCCTCCGCTTTTGGAGAATGACAGTATGTCGCGATCGGTGGTTTGCATTCATTGGTGGCTTGAGGATTGAACCTGGTTCTGTTTGAGACTGAATGGGAAGATAGCCACCTACCCACCAAACCACCAACTCAAAGCACAACAGGGGAATCTGAGCATACTCGCCCAGTTTCCGCACTCACCAGCAGGCAGACAGTTTTGCCAAAACAGAGTATCAATGCATGTGACAAGTACTCTCCTGTTGGGGAGGATGAAAGGCTAGGGGGTAACCCAGTTCCCTTGCTTTTCCTTTTTCTCCACAATAAGCAAGCACTTGTTTCTTGTCCGGCGCTCATGCATCCTCAAGCTACATTGCGCATCGCCTCAGAACCCCGCGGGTGCTCCTTTTTTCCCGGCGGATTTGACGCCTGCTTGGCTTTTCGGGTGAAACCAGAATCGCTTCCCCGGGATGAGTGTGATTGTGGTTTCGTTGCCACATTTCAACGTGTGGGTCTCTCTTACTTTCCGCAATTCCCGTTTTGGTGGCTTTACCGGGAAACCAAAAGTAAAACCGAAAGACCTGGAAGAATCCCCTAAACACAGACGAGCCATGTAGCTTTGCCCTTGATCTCCTTCCCCCAATAGCGCCCGAGATCCTTTTTGGTTGAGCGCCGAGTTCCAGAAATTCCGGCATTCTTTTCGGGCATGAATCCCTGTGTCCAGCATAGCCATTGGTCGAAAGGTTGGCTGGAGCTTGGGGTGTGTATCCCGAGACGGCCCCAGCAAGGTTTGAAAGGGATTCCTCAGTTCTTCAAAGCTTTGAGCTTTCGACCTTTTGTTTTTCCAGTTTTGGTCCATATTTTTCCTCATGGCCCCCAAAAGGTTAACCCTTTAGAGTGGAGCAACTGAGCTTTGAAGCTTCGGGCGCCCTTCGGACAAGGGACGAGTCCGTGTGGGGTTTGGGACGTGGAGTCTCTCAGAAGCAGCCGAAGCCAGTGCCAAACCAAGACTCGTTAGAAGGGCTGCTCTGTTGGACCAAACTTGCCTTGAACCTTTGGGCTGAACATGGGGACGGTTTCCAACCTCCAGCAAAATGTGCACAGGCTTTTGCAGATCAGTTTGACGGATTCATTGGGCGGTGTCCCATTTGAGGGAATGCTTCACTTTTCGCACTCCCCCTGATAATCCACAAGGTTGATTCATGCGGGGTTGACATCATAAACCTCCCAGCTGACCACTCCACCGCACCCTGTGCATGTTCCTCATCAACGTTGACACCCTCGAAAAATATCCTTCAAAGTGATCGAGTCATGTTTGGCTTGGCTCAACCTCTCGGCAAACAACTTCCATGCGGACCATCGGGCCCCGACACCCATCCCATCCCTTTCCCATCTTATATTTGCCCGGCGGTCGAGTGTTGCGGCGATCGAATGCTCGTGGCTCGAGCATGATTGTTGTCAAATTGTATTGATTGCCGAGACAGGTCGGCGCCTCAGAGGATGATCGCTTGGGCATTGGTTTAAGCACAACCCGAGACCAACCTTTTTGCCGTCCCCTGCAACAGGAGGTGGTTTAAACAAATGTGGGTTCAACACGTTTAAACAAGGGGTTGGCCCAACCCAGGCCAGATTTGACAACCCGAGACCAACCTTTTTGCCGTCCCCTGCAACAGGAGGTGGTTTAAACAAATGTGGGTTCAACACGTTTAAACAAGGGGTTGGCCCAACCCAGGCCAGATTTGCCTTTGCAGCTTTTGTTTTTTCTTTTGTCCCCCCCCCCCCTTGCAACCAGCAAGCAGTTGGCATTTCATTGCCAGAAGGTGTTTGATCTCTGTTCTAAGCGGATTATAACCCACGTGGCTAATCACATACGATCTCGAGTAGGAACCCCTTGTTGTTAGAAACTCTTTGGGGATCATCAAGCAGATGCCCAAATGTCTTGGGATATCATGGCACTTTTGTCCAAACACGCCATTGCCGCTTTCTCAGCTGCATCCAAAGGCCAAGAAAGGCTCGAAGCCATAAGGTTTACTAGAATGGACCATCTGAACACATGGCGGGTGTGTCCTTTTTTAGGGGAAGCCCGTTCAAAGGGAGAAGAAAAAGAGCACCGCCATGCACCGCCATTTGGGGTGATCCCCCTATTTTTTGGTTGGGGGCAAAGCTGAGGTGGTGAAGGTGTTCCTTTCTTGTCATGTTTCTGCCATCTGCCACCTTTCAGAGTTTAAAGCTCTCAAGAGTCTTGCGGTTGAAGGCCTAGTGCCCATTTTACAAAGTAGGCGACGCTAATGAAACATGAGCCAATCTGAAGCCAGTGGAACCCCTCTAGCTGCAGATTTTGGTTGGTTCCGCTGCCTTCTGGCACACGAATGATTGGGGTCAGGGGTGCTCTGGAAACTTCGAACGGTGTCCCTTCCTGGAAAGCCAGTGTGGCCATTTTCGTGGCCAAGTCCATATGGACACAAAACGCTGGCATGGTTTCCCTTGGCTTCTTGTTGAGGGTTGCTTTTTCCTGATACAAACCACTTAGTTCTTTGCGAAACCCAAGACTCAAGGAAGTTCAGGCATCGGTTTGAACGGGGAAGTGGCAGAATAGCCACCTCTGGGTTCTTTTCTGAGTTTGAGCACGTTTTTGGGTGTGCCCTTTTGCACCTGGCCCTTGCGGTTGCTGGACTCTCCGTGCCTCGCTGTCCAAAGCCTTGGCTCAACTAAGATGACAAGCGGTGCATCGTACAAGAGGTGCGCTTACCTCGAATCAATGAGCTGCACCTTGAAGCTTCAGCAAAAGCGTTCCGTCGAAAACGCGAGGAGCAAAAGCACCTACTCAGAACCAGCGCGTGTGCTTGCCATATATCTTTTGCTCCGGAGCAAAAAAAACGATGCCAGGCATGCGAAAACGCCCGGTGCGCGGCGTTCTCGCCGCATTGGCCGTCGTGGTGGGCTTTTGGTCTGCGTCCTTCGTGGGCCCGAACTCGGCTCCGGCGCCGGCGCCGGCGCCTCGGACTGCGGCGGCGGCTACTGCCGACGCGGAGGCCGAGACGGTCGACGTGATGGAGACAGCAGAGGAGGCGAGGGGGTTGAAGGTCGAGTTGTTGGAAGTATCAATGGGATCCCCTCCCCAAAGTGGTATAGGATTCCTCTTGAGAAACAGAACGTTTCAAAACTTTGAGGCGTCTGTCAAGACCTTAGCAATAGAACGTCTCTTGAGTCCTTTTGTCAGATGGTCCTTTTGTTTTCGTGCCCCTGCTCTGGTAACCACCCCGTCTTGTGCATGCGTACCCTTGGTTCAGTATGGCTCTTGGGAAGCAATTGTTCAAGGGTTGGTTTTTGGCACCAAGAACACATGAGGCATCATTGCCGGCCAGGACCATTTTTCTTCGCAAAGAAGACCCATCTTGAGCAAACGGGGGTTTCTCAGAATGGTGGACTTTGTCTTGGTGGAAAGCAACAGGAGACCCTTGCCATTTAGGGTGCTGGTTCTTGGTTTGAGAAAGCCCTAAATGAAAGATTACGATGCTCTGTTCCATTTAGCAGTACCTTCGTATTGTGACCCCTCTATTGTATATCGGTCCTTTGGCCGGATCCTTTGGGAAAACATTCAGAGAAACTATGGTAACACCTGATGCAAAACGCCAGGTTCACGACCTTTTTTGGGATCTATGCCATATTTTAGGGTAGACAACATATGAAACAGACTGCCCTGGAATATCAAGGATGGTGGGTTGGCCTTGTCTCACTGCCCTGATTAGAGTCAGCTTGCAAGTGGACTGCTCACCCAAAGTTTGTCTTCAGCATTGTTTTGGCTTCTAATTTCTGGAACTAGTGAACAGCCGCTCAGACTCTGAAATGTATGATGTTCTATGTACCGCAGATGTGGGCTGAGTAGTGGTACCTGGAAGCACTTGTGCCACAGTCAAAAGGTTTGCGCGGGAACATTACAGCCATAGATAATTCGCGACCGCCCTTGAATTTCTTTATTATTGTGGGCAGCTCATAATACAAAGAGAGGTTTCATTCCGACTCACTTGGGCAACAAGGGCATGAGTTTGACTTCAATGTTCTTTTCATGATTTCGAATCTAAACTTGGTTTGCAGATTTAAACCCCTGATTCCTGAGGGCAAATGGGGAACCACCCATACCTCTAACCAAACCACCGGGCTCCAAACCACCCTTTTTGGGCGGAAGCTGAGAGTTAGTTGTTCTGCAGCCTCGCTGCTTGGTTTCCTGGGCAAACCTGATGCTCCATAAGCTTCTTGGTGGGAAGCTGAAATCCACCAAACAAACCACCGGGCTCCAAGCTACGAACTTTTTGGGGGGGAAGCTGAACACCCGGGCCAAAGCCACGGCTCCCCAAGGCCCGACCCGGCCCACCCCATGGTACAATGTCAAGGGCACACCCAAGGGGCGGCCCTCCGAACTGCGAACTTTTTTTGGGGGAAGCTGAGGGTGGTCCGACCCGCCCCAAGGGGCCCGACCCGGGTGACCCGGCCCAAGGGGCCTCCGGCCCAGCCGCTTCGGCTCCGCTTCAGGCCGAGGAGGCCGCGGCGGAGGTGGCGGAGGAGGCGGAGGTCGCCACCGCCTCCGACGGCGCGGCCTGGCGCTCGCCGCTGCGGAGGCTGCTGCTGGCGCGGAGGCGCGCCAAGGGACGTAGAAATGGGCGGCGCGTCTTTTTTTGGAGTTGGTGTGCCTGTTCTTGGCGATCTTTAAAGGAAAGACACACACAAGGAATACGATTTTGGGGGGTCCTCCCCCAGAAAGGAGACCCCCCAACATGCTTTTCCCTGACCAGTGAGCTTTTTTTAAATGGGTGGTTTGTCTTTTGCAGAATCTAGACCGGGTCCCGGCGCCCAGAAGTCAATTGCAGCTGGGGACTTGGAGTGAGCACTGGTACCCTGAAGGCAGAAGGTGCGGGAAGACGCGCTGAAGGAGCTGCTTGGCATTTTTCGAGTCTTGGTTTCGCTCACTTTTTCATTTGCTCTCTCGCTTCTTTTTGATTTGGCTATGTGTTTTTCTCCGGCATACACATCAAAAAGAAATTAATAATTTAGGATCAATAAACCATTATTTGGGGATCAAACACAAATTAGTCCATACCATGTGAAGGAGAAGGCAGTTGGCAAGTTAGTATCCGGTGCACCCTGGAGCAAAGGGCGGTTAGTAAGTCAGCATACGACGGTTAGTAAGTTGGCAAGTTAGCAAGTAGCAAGCTAGCCAGTTAGCAAGTTAGCATGTTAGCAAGTTAGCCAGTTAGCAAGCTAGTAAGTTAGTAAGTTAGCACTACTACTACTACTACTACTACTACTACTACTACTACTACTACTACCACCACCACCACCACCACCACCACCACCACCAATACTACTACTACTACTACTACTACTACTACTACTACTACTACTACTACTACTACTACTACTACTACTACTACTACTACTACTACTGTACTGCTACTACTACTACTACTACTACTACTACTACTACTACTACTACTGCCTGCTTAATTTTTTGTTGTTCCTGAATATGGTTTTATTGCTGAAAGCTATAGGGGTTCCATCTTCAAGCAAAGAAGAGACATTTGCTTGGCAAGATGAGTTCAGGGGTAATCAACAAACCCGGACTTTTCCGAAAAATCCGCGCAGGGCTCTCCACTATTTCAATGCTCGGAACTTTCCGCTAACCAACAATTTGTCATTTGGTGTTCAGTTTCTTTGTTTCCTCTCGTTGCCTACAGTTGCTTGCCTGGACGCCCTGGGTATGATTCTTTCCATGTTTCTATTTTTTTTGCGGGTCTATGTTCTTGTGCCTCGCAATGTCAATCATTGCCTTGCAATGATTGGCAATACCGGTGGTAAGTGATAATTGCTGGCCAGTTGAGTAAAACCGACAGTATGATCTGAAATGTCTCGTCAAGGGACAAGAAGAGGAACTCAGACAGGTCAACTTTTCCACACAAAAGCCAAAAGGACTGGGCTCGAGTCTGACTTTCGATTTGGAAGCGAATCATGTTGACCACTAAATTTGCTCAAGGTGAGTTGGGTCTGATTTTGTTGGGTTCCAAAGCGAGCCAAAAGCATAGCTATCCAAACGGTTCTTGGATCTTCCAAACCTCAGGGTGAGCTTGTTCATTAGGGAAGACCCGCTCAGAAAGGTGCTCATTCTTGATTTTCAGTTGAAAAGTACGGCTTTGTTTGTTTGGTGAAAACAGGAGACACCCTTGAGGATCCAGTTGCCTTTTTGAGAAACGTAGCAGGCTGAGGTTTTTACCGGGTTTTGGTTTAAAAGCACTGGGAGACAGCGTTTTGATGTTGACAAAGCATACCATGCATTTGGTAGGTTTTTTCTCCAGCTAGCGTTTCTCCACGCCGTTTAGGACACCAACCATGAGATCCACGTTGGAAACCGGAATCACTAGAGAAATTAGGAACCCCTTTAGGTGGCTGGTTTGCATGATGGTTTCCCCACCTAAACCCTACATCGGGGTATTCGAATCAACCTGTCCTTAGGCTGGCAGGGATCTACGACCAGGCGAGTGAGCAGATCTTTAAGGAGGTGGAGCGTTACGGGGAGGCCGAGATGGGAGGGAGGGCTCCGCTGAAGGGGTTGGGAAGGTGAGCGACTGGGTGGGTTCTGGGGTCTCTAATACGGCTTTGCGTTTCAAGGCTGACTCGATATGATTCCGAGTCTGAACATATGATACTCGAGTTGTTCTTTAATGTATGTTTTGTTTTTGTTGAACGCAAGCATTGGGTTTTGCGGGACCCTTTATTAAACAACAACAAAATGTGTTTTGCTCTCTCTCTCTCTCTCTCTCGGTGTGTGTGTGTGTGTGTGTGTGTGTGTGTCTGTGTGTCTGTGTGTCTGTGTGTGTCTGTGTGTGTGTGTGTTTAGCAATGTTTTTGGAGAAAAAAAACAACAGGACGGCAAGACAGGGACCGCTTAAAGAGGGCCTTAAACAGCAGGGGGTCCCTTTTGTTTTCCCAAACAGTGAGGGCAAAAGGCGACGGACAATACTACCAGGGTATTGTTTTCTGGGGTGGGTCCCTATTAGTTTCTGGAATGTCAGTGTCTTTTGGCAGTATTGTTTGTGTCAACATTAGTTGGAAGACCCAGGAAGGTTCCTTAGGGAGCAGATGCTCTTGTATGATATTGTGCGTATATAATGGTTCTTATAGGATCCAAGCTCATTGTATTGTACTTAGTTGATGGTTGAACATGATTCCTTCGAACTGCCCACGCAAGAAGCCTCTCGATCACGGTCCTTTTAGAGAAAGGAACGCACATTGAGCGGTACAAGTTCTTTTGCCCAAAGCTTATATACGCCCGAGGTTACCTCAACTTGGCGCAAGACTGTTTTTTTAAAGAACAGCACCACAAAAAAACACAAATAGTGATGATACCCTTAGTTGGTGGTTTGGATTGTTTGGCCTTTGTAGTGGGTAAATGGGAAACCACCAATCCCAACCCCGAAACCACTGGGCTCCGAACCACCCTTGTAGAGGGACGCTCATCGTTATCATTATCTTTCTCCTTGAGTTCCTGGACCATTTTAGTGGTACACAACAAGTTCAGACTTTTTTCTGGCCAATCCACTCGATCGGACGTGAGTTACCATCATGATAATCATTATAATCATTATCATTGTCAGTCTCCCTATAATATAGTTATCAGTATTGTCAGCCTCCCTCGAATATACTTGTCATTATTCAAGGGAGGCTGAGATCATGTTAATCTTCTAGGTCCCGTCTCTCCCCTTTTGGGGAGGGTTCCCCTACTAAAATAGACTACAGAAAAAGATAGGGTACCAACTTATTTTAACCTCTCTATTGGAGGACCTAGTGAACCTTTTGGTTGAAATCAAGGGTGTGATCATGTTAATCATTTCAATCATTTTAACCTTGTAAATCATTAGAATTGGAAGCTGAGATCATGTTAATCATTCTAGTCCTTAAACCATTGAACATTATCAACATGAATCACTTAAAAGCCATTCATCACTATTATTTTACACCATTCAGCCATTAAAAGCCATTCATCACTATCATTTCAAGAATGGTCCCCCACTAGTGCCCCTTTTACCCTTTTTGGGGGAGGACAGAAAAAAGGGTACCCTTGTTCGAACCTCTCTACTGGAGCATTCTAGTCATTCTAATCATTTCAAACATTATAACCATTGACCGTCATGACTTAATTCGCCGGCGTCGAGGCCGGCGGCCTGGCCTCGTCACTGCGGCTGCGGCCCTTCTTCGGGTATCGCTCCGCCTGCGCCAGCCTCTACCGCCGGGAAGCCCGGGTAGAAGGGTACAACCCCCGTTGTTACCCACTGCAGTTTAACCTGGAACCCAAAAAACCATATGTTTCAAAACTTCTCTTGGACCCCAAGATTGGGTTCCATTTTTGTTAGGGGAGTGGTTCAAACCCTTGTTTGGCCAATCCCAACCAACCCCAGATATAAAGGTCGGTAGTGACCATGGCAAGGGCTGGACCAAGCCCTGGCTTCATGTTTTTGTCTTCAACAACCGTTGGGTTGCAGTTCAAAGGCTACCAAGGCCTTGTTCTTAAAATACCCATTTGCCTGTTGTGTGGACATCCATGATGTAGGTCCTTGACTTGGATCCATGTTTCATTTCAGGTTTTGGACATGTAGAATTGGCAGATCTAGATGGTTGAAATAGCCCACCTTTGGGTTATCAGTGTGTTTTGCCTTGCAAGGCGGAACAGGTTTCGGGAGGGAAGGCTACGCGATTTGTTGTTGAACTTCGATACCTTAGAGGAAAAACCATCACGAGTTGGTGGGGTGATGTTTGCCCAGCCAAAGTGAGCTCCAATTCGATATCCCTTTTGGCAGACTTAGCTCACCTCAACGTTTGGCCTTTGCGTTTTCCTTCGTGTGGGTGTCTGTTTTGAGGGTTCCTCCCTTTTCTGTGGCTTGACAGGGGAACCCAAGGGTCCAAATCCAAAAAGCGACGCCTTCCAGCGACGCTGGATTTCTTCACGGTTGCCCAGACGTGACGAAGCCTTCTGGTGCGTCGCGTAAAGGGAATTTGAGGAATATGGAGGTCTGGTATTCTCTATCTGATCTATCTGATTTGAACTGTCCAATCTCGTCGATTTTTTTCTACTAACTATCCAGCTAACTAGCCGCCCATCTACTATGCGTATTCATCATGCGCATGTTAACCAAAGATTAAACTTTGACTACATGGTTTGTTTTTCATTTTGTTAAGGCTCTTACACCAGTGGTGCAAGGTATGGCTGGGAAATCTGAGACCCTGTCAAATTGGGACTCTGAAGAGACTCCATTAACTTCACTGTGCTTGGCATGTGTACTCTGTGTTTTGTGTTGTGTTTTTTCTTTTGTGCTCGTTGGTGTTTTCATCCGTGTTTTTGTATGTTGGTTTTGTTCTTGGTTTTGCTGCTAGTTGATTGTTAGTGTGTTGCTTTCGTTTCAGTGAATGTGGAATCGCTAATCCGCGGTGCCAATCAAGGCACAGTGAGGGACCACATCTTGCCGCAGCAGGCGGGTTGGGCGCAACCCAAGGGCAGGCCCCTGTTCAGTTGCCTTTGCTTCTTTTCTGGGGGCTATTTGTATGTTCGGCTCTCTTTTGAGTTGCCCCGAGGGGGCACCAAGCCCTGCAGTTCCCTCGAGTGCTGAAAGAAACTGAGTTTCCTTTGACTTTCTTCTTCGCGCGTTTTGAAGTCTTGCTGCTCTCGGGTTGCAACACCCCTCAGGCCATTGGTTCCTTTCTTTACGGGACTGGCAGGCGGGCTCCCCCGTGGTGGTGTCCGCGCAAACCCGGGACGGCGCCCCGAGGCTGCGGTATGTCTTGCAGCGCCTCGGGTTGAAGCGGATGTTTCGTCTTGGGCGGTGGTTGAGGTTCAAGCCGCGCATTCCGTGTCCATTCTGTTGAGGGATCCTTCTTGTCAATCAATGGGCCAACCTGATGGGAAAATGGGTGGTGTCTGAAGAGCACGATGGGTGAGAAGAATGGGGAATCAAGCCCTGGAGGAGTGTTCAGGGTAAGAATCTATGGAGAACGATGGTTGAGCAGAATAGGAAGTCAATGCTGGCAGGAAGTGATGGCGAGGTGCCTTTTTTTGGAGGTTGAATATGGACGAATCAATGGGAGATAAACCTTTTTGGGGAGAGGGTCCCTATGTTGAGGCAAAATTATATTTTGCCAAACCTTAAACTTATGCTTGCAGGTTTCGCCTTTTTTCTTGCAAAGCCCAAGAGCTTGAACTTTCATGGCTAGTCAACTGAGCAGGTATGGTTGGGGGGGTGGCGAGGTCATCTACCCTGTCAAATAAAACTGACAGAAGGACCCCAACACGCAAGGTTTCCAATCAATCGTTTCGGAACGGGTTCTACGCTAATCTTCAGGGGAGTAGATATGGGTGTGTCGCTTTTGAGGGTACCCACTTCTGTGTGTTTGTTTTTTAAAGGAAAACCCATATGGTGATTCGTGCAAGCAACATGAATGTGCTAACTTTGATGGGTTGTTTTTCATGTTTTGGCTGACTTTATCTATTGTTGACTTGGAACATGTGACCTTTGGTCTCGGTCGTTGCTTTCGCACCAATTGGGGCCCACTCATTTTTCTCCCAGTTCAGTGGCACCAAGTGTCCCTTTTTGCTTGGGTTTCCTTCTGGTCAAAACGGACACGGTTCTAGTAATTGGTTGTGCCACCTTTCGGGTCACCACTTAGGTTTGGAATCGGAACAACGGGGGTCCTTTTGGGGGGTCCATTTGAAATCAGGCAACGCAAGCACGCAGTTTGGGTTGGTGCCCCTTTCAGATCTTGCACCGGTTTTGGGTTTTAGACTAACATGTGTCTGAGGCCCGGTATGATCCTGTTGACTATGAAGGACATAAACCCCCGCTTAAATCAGAGGGCGCCCAAGCAAAATTCTCACCCTAGTAGAGAGGATACATAGTTTCATTAGGTGCGAATTGACCCGCGCGCGCATCTCTTCTTCTACCCTTGCATAGTTTTCATCAATTGTTTCCAAAATTGTTGAAGAACCGCTACCCCCAAAATCAGTTAATCTTGTTAAATGTGTTTGGTCCAGTTACACTTGCGGTCAGTGTTGAACAGCAGCGCTCACACGAAGAAGTCTTGGTCTTCTTCTTCATCCTTTAACGAATCCCCCTCTCCTTTAACAAAACCTTTAACAACCAACGTCTCAGCCTCTCCTTTAACAAAACCCCCAGGACAGACGCTATGGACGCTGATGGCCGGGAAGCCTCTGAGGAGGAGGCGGTCTGAGGGCTCGCGGGTGGGTTGGACGGATACAGACGGGAAGACACACTCCCACTGACATGGAACCCACTTCAAGTCTCTCCTATCGGACAGGGTCTCCAGGACTGGGCCTGTGCTATGTTTGCGGAGAGGGTATCTAGTTAGCAACGGAGCGCAAAGGTTTCCATCCTTTGGAGGTTTCCATGCACCAGTCAGCTTCGCTTGTTTGTTCAAATTGTTTGTTTTATCACAACGCTTGAACTGTTTGATGTTCCTTCATTTCCTCGTTCAGCCAGCAAGAAGTGACAACTTGTTCGTTCATTCGTGAAGGAATCTCCTTTGGTGGGGAGCCTTTGTGGGGTTCTATGTGAATTTGTAGGGCCTCGTGGTTGTATCACTCTGTTTACGAGTAGCCTTCTGACATAGGGGAGCAAAAGTAATTGCAATCGGGTTGCAGGGTGCATTCTCAGACCAAACCGCTTTTGGGCAACTTGGCCCCTTAAAACGAGCATTATTATACATGGACCCCTGAGGGTGGATCTATTCCAGACAGTTGTCTTTCTCTCAGCCACGAGAATGCTAGTGAGGATCCTTATGCCAGTTGTATACACTCCATAAAGATCCGTGACCAAACCACGGATCAGACATCTTTGGTTTTGCCTCAAAAAGCCACAGAATCTGGCGTAGCTCAGTGTTTTCTTTTGCTTGAGGATACACCCGTTTTGTTGCTGAAGCTCCTGACCTTTTTCAGGTCTGGTGCCCATAGCTTCACCGCCAAACCGCCGCTCGCTTGCTCGCTCGCTCGCAGGCTGTGTCGGAGGCCTCCAAGGCGCGCGCGCTCTTCGTGGCGCTGCGGCAGCTGCCCCAAACCAACGCCTGGACCCTCGAGAGGCGCGCGGGTTCGCGTGGCTTCGCACGCGGTTGGTGGAGTGGCTTGCGTGCGGAGTGGCGTGCGCGTGAGGTTTGGACTTGATCAATTGAACTTTGCGTGCCAAATTGAAGGGATGCCCAAAGGCTTCCGACGACTTCCTGGGGCTATTTGAGGGCCCTGCGGACCCTTGCCACGGTCCACGAGCGGGTAGAAACAAAAAGAAGCTTCTTGGCCGGGTGCGGAGTGAACCTGAAGTTAGGAGTTTGGGACTTTGCAGTTGGGATGCGTGGGGTGCAGGCGCCTGTGGGAGGAGCGCAGTTCAGTTCGATTGTCCGAGGAAAGAGGGAATCGGACCTCGCATTGGATCATTGGATATCATAAGCATTTTGGGCTGAGTTTAGTGGGAACCCCTAACTCCACTACTGAGGCGAAAAAGGGGAATCTTGGGCGAGCCATGGAACTATGCACAAAATTGTCCCTTACCAATGAATAACTTGGTGGATTTCGGCAACCCGGGATCCTGCGCGTTCCCCACGGTCACCAGCTTGTCCAGTCAAGTTTGGGTTGGTTTCAAAATTGGTGCAACCAGATGGCAACATGTTCTTGGATAATGTGGATGTGGCTAACTCGTTGGGTTTTTCTCGCTCTCTTCGAGCCCTATTTGGAGGTGTCGTTTTTTGAGGGTACCCTTTTGGGTGCTTTTAAAGGGGCACCACTCTTTCTTTTCTTTCTTTTGGGGGGTGAGTCCTGTATGAAAAGACATTGACAAAGTTTGGGGTCTTGGATGGCTATGAGCATCTTGTTCCCATCATGACCGATTTCAAACCCTCAAGTTATTTTGGCTCTATACCCTCAGACTTTCAACTTTCCGATTTTTGGAAAATAGAGGGATGTTTCCGGGATAAAAGTTTTACTTAGGAACTAAGGAATCTATACTTCGATAAGCATAACTATTTTTTTATTGGTCCCCCCTCCCCAAGTTCGCACCCCGATCCGGGGAGGGATGCGGGGTCCGTCCGTCCCATCGGCCGCGCAGATCCGCGGGCTCGGCGGAGACGGTGGAGGAGTGGTCCAAGAGGACGCCGAAGCTGGAGACGCCCAAGTACAAGGCGCGCGGCCGAAAGTCGCTCCAGCTGAGTTGGAGATCCTGGATCGTACATGGAGTCTGGTGGCCACAAAAAAACACGCCGAGGGGGGGGGGGATGCTGGTACACTTGGGGAAGCCCAACGGAGGTGGTTTGAGCAGATTAAACATGTTTTGAAATAGGTGGCTCGATATGTCTAGGCGCACTAGGGCGGCCTGCTTGCAGGTCAAAATGGGAAACCAACCAGAATGAGTGGTGTCCTTGTGGCTTTTAAAGCACTCCCAAGGGTTCCCTGAGAAGAGACACCCCCCATTTTCGATTGGCCTTTAAGTTGATCAGCTTTTTCCAGAGTAGGTTTTGTTGAGGGGTTCCGAAAGGCTTGGGCCCGCCCGTGAGGTGATTTCCCGGGACGCGCTCTTCGGCTTTGAGGCCCGCCGCATTTTGTTTGGTTCCGTTTTCAAGAGCTTTTTGTCATATCCCAGCAGCAGTTTTTGCTTCCACCATTTGTTTTTTGTTTTTTTTGATTTGTGTGTGTCTTTTTCCAACTTCGGAGGGCACCCAGGCACCCAGGCAAGAACCATGGGGGTCACGAGAAGATTGAGCAAAAGCAACACTTGTTTGTACAATCATTACCAAGTCTGGTCTTAAGGCACCCCAATTCCCAATTCTAAGCATTGATTCGGCTCCTGAAAGGGCTGTGGGCTTGCTTCTGGTCAGGTCCGAGAGTATGAGCCCTACGCGGTGGTCCAGACCCAGCAAGGCGCTGGCCGGTCCCCGTTTTTGTGGTGTTCAAGGGGACAACCAAAAGGGACGCATACGTTTTGGGGGTTCCCTGTCCCTACACAGAGAGACTCATTGTTAAGAGCCGAAATAACTAGAGGTACACTTTAAAACCAACTTCTGTGATGTTTGTAAGAGATGACTGTTGGGAGTATTTGGGGAGGTCCGCATAACTGGTTAGCAACCCTAGGATTCACCTTAAGCCTGGCTTACACCAGGGTGAGATGGCACAATTCCCTTTGGGGAAGCAAAGGGACTGACTTGGACAGCGAGTCAACGAGCGGGAGGTAAGCCTCTGTTTAACCGTTCTCTCGTCACTTCACCAAACACAAGACACAGTGACCGAGAGAATGAGGCTTACCGTCAAGGCTATTCCTGTCCCTCCAATAGCCTCTCAGCCTTGACCGGCGAGGGAAGGAGGTGGGGGGAGATGGGAGAGTGAGGAGTGAATGATATGAAGGAGACCGGAGAAGCGACGGACGGGATGAATGAACGGTGAATAGGTGACTCATGGAGATTCCTCACTGTCACCGCCATTTCCCGCCTTTTCCTTCATGGCGGGTCTATCTGTGAACGAAGTGACGGGAACTGACGAAGGAAGAGAACGAGCGAAGAGACGCTCTAATTCCCGGCAATAAATGATTCCTTAAAAGCCGGGGTGAGAGACGGAGCGTAGGCGAGGGAACGGTGTGTGGGAGAGCCTCAAATAGAAATCTGTTAATTGGCTCTCCATGTCATGTCTTGGTTATAATTACAGTCCTTTATCTACATCCCTTTCATCTTTGATGTTGATAGTGAACACTGCGGAAATTGTGCGTAGACCCAGAGCGGAAAACTACAATCGTGCGCTACTCACTGGGTTCACGGACTTGAGCGAGTTGGATTGGGACCATGGCAAACAGCAGAAAGTTCTGACTTCTGTTTGGCAAATCCGCTCAGGAAGTGCGGGTTATTGAGGCCTGATAGTACTGTAAGGATTCCTCGGGCAGGGGATGCTATGGGCCACTACCCACCAAATCACCGTGCGAAAATGGGGGGGAGTCTACTCACCAACTAAAATGGCATCGGGGACACCGTACACTTGACGCCAAAGACAGGCACAGAAGCCGCGAACAACCGCTCCTTCTTCATGCTCGCAGACTACATCTTCGGCAAGAAGAACGAGAGGAACCGGGGTTTGCGCAGAGACAGGTTTCGTTGAGTCCAAAATGGGTGTGCCTCTGCTCAGGCGACCCGCTAGATGGTTGTTTTCCTGTTGGCTTCCCTTTAATTAAAACAAACAAACAACTGGGCATTTTCAAAACAAGACACCCAAATAGCCAATACTTGTGAATGTCGCCAAAAGGAAGCCAAAGGTTGGATAAGTTGAGATTCCAGACCCTTGAGCACAAACATCTCCCAGCCCCATAGGTTTCCCTTTCCAGCTACTGTACAAGGCTGCCTTTTGAGCCGACTAGAAGCTTGGCGTGATGCAGTTTTCATCTCCGGAGCTCAATTTCTTCGACCCCAAGAGCCAAGGCCCCACAAGTGGTAGATTCAAGGGAAACAGAAGCAAAGTTTCTGACTTTGATAGCCTCAACCGGGGTCACTCCAGGCACTACACTCAGTATGCCAACAACCCGCCCACCCAACCCAACCCAACCCACCAACCACCAACCCGCCAACCGATCCGTCCCACAAATAGAATCAGGGCTTGTTTTTTGTTTTTTCTCGGCACAGCTGTGGGCTTGGCCAAAGCCCAGTGAAAGTCAGAGGAAGGAGAAGATGGCCATGACCACGCCCGTGCAGATGGATCGCGACACCGGCTCTATGTCGCTCCTCGCACCGCATTTTTTTTTTTTTCCGAGGGGGCGGCGGTGTTTCTTCTAAAAGAATGTGGGGGGGGGGGGAGGATTTTCAGGTTTCAGCATCGGTTGGGATTTCCAAAGCCTCAGTTCCCAGAGCGGGTTTGTGTTTTTTTGCGAAAAGGGGGCTGTCACTGTCACCCAACTCAAAGGGTATCGGAGCACTTGTTTGATTCTTGGGGGCAGGGTTGGGCGATTCAACCCCCTAGCCAGAGTTTTAGCACCTGATTGCAATAGAAAACAACCTCCTTGTGGATGTCCATCAATGGTGAACCCTTATAAAGACAGGTTTCCTCTTGGTGGGGTGATGTTTCAAGGGCACGCAAAAGAAGCCCTGTTGCAGAATTGCTTTCAGGCTTTGCTCCAACCCAAGAGTGACCCTCCTGTGCCGGGGTCATTAGTTTGCTCCCAGGCACAAGTTGGAAGCCCGCAATTTCTGCGTGCTAAATAGTCAAAAAAACGGAAGAACCGGAGTTTCTTAGGCCACTGAACACAAAGATCCAGGGCCAAAGGAGGCCAGTTGCAGGCTGAAGAATCCCAGGTCCTTTTTCCTGGAAGGCGCCTGTTGACTTCCATGTTTTGGCAAGAGAAGTTGGACTCAACCTTGGAATATTCATCAGTTGGATTCTATCCCTGAACCCTCAGACCCAAAGGCTTTTTTTTTCCGGATTTGTCAGATAGGAAGTTCCAACTTCGATTTTTTTTTGCAGCGCTAGTTTTTGCAGCCAGGTTCATCATGCCCAGCAAGTACTGGACGTCCCTGGAGGATGCGCCGCAGCCCGACGCGGACGCTGGGGTCCTTCTGGAGCCGCGGCCCAGGGAGCGTCTGGCGGTCTCCGTCTTCGGAGGCTACGCGCTGGGGCCGAGGGTGGCCCGCAAGCGCCGCGGCATGTGAAGGAAAAGAGACACATGGGTGTGGGACAAAAATTCAACCACCAATAAACCCCAGGTTTTAATCCTGGGTTCTATTTACCAGGTTCCATTTTGGGTACCCATTTTTCACCCACAGCCGCATGTGAAGGCCCAAAATCGGATTCCCATTGACCTTTGGCAAGTTAGACCTGGTTTCATTGGAAGCTATATATTGAATGGAAGTAGAGCCAAAAGTCACTGGGTTTCGGTCGCTGCCCCTTGATAAGGAACTTGGACCGCCAAGGTTCCTACGAGAACCATGCCCATGACCCAACGGAGATTTCACCATGCCGCAGTAATCCAAATCTCCTGACTTGTCGATTGTCTTGGGGAAAACCTGGGGGGGAGGGTGGCAAGCTTCAAACCGGGGGACCTACTGATTTCCCGTGAGGAGAAACCAAAAGAACCCTGGAAGTCCATGTTGAAAAGCTGGGTTGAGGGTACCCCTTAGCAACAGCAAGTGTGTCCCTTGTTTTGACACCCCATTCAACACCCAATCTGGCCAAATTGGGAATTCGAGGACGGAGGAGTTGATCGACTTCGTGCAGAAGAGCGAGGCCCGATGGTTTTCTTCCGGAGAGCTTCCCTGGCTGCCTACGGGAAAGCTCCTTAAATTCTGACTACTAAATCGACCGATCGCTTAGTTTCCCTTGCACACCTACCCCACAAAGGGGTCCCGCAAAAACACAAACAAATCCAAATCCAGGCCCCCCTCCCAAAACAAATGGCTCCGGCTTTTTCCTTGGCTTCCATTGCAACCAAAAGGAGGGCCCCGAAAGCGGCGAGGCTTGGGAGCTCGCAGAGAATTCCACGCGGCTCATGCAGTACAACGACCCCTTCACCGTGCCATGGAAGCGGCGCAATGAGGTGAGTGTGCCGGTGAGGCCCAAAGTGAAAGCGTAGGATTCGTCCAGAAGGCGGACGTAACAAAAATCATTACAGATCCCTTTCGGCAGGTTCACAACCCTAGCACACTGGAGTCGCGGGCGGGTCCCTCCGGAATGGCAAGGGTTGAGAAAATGGGGTGTTGTTTTTTCCCCTACCCGACAGATCCACAACCAGCGCCTGCCTGCCGACAGAGCCTGTGACAGACAGATGTGACAGTCCGAAGTCTGAAGCTCCTGGCCCATGACAGCTGCCCGCCAGTGGCCGCGCGCGAAAAGAGCAGCTGTGCGAGAGTGTGCGTTTGCTTAGCGTGCACGGCTGCTTGCCAGTTTTGAAGGTGCAGGGATTTCCGCGAAAGCTCCTTGAAGTCCAAGATCCAAGGAGAAGGCCTCTTTTGCACACTATTCTTGTACTGAAGAGCCCAGAGCTGCCAAAGTGCACTTGGTGTGCTACTGTTCTGTCTTGTTCTGAAAAGTTGCAGTTTTCAAGCTGCCAATTTCAATCAGCCACTGCGATTGCGCCGCGAAAGGGTTGGCGCAAAAGACGCCGGTGCGAAAGGAAAACACTTGCGCGCGAAAGCTTTGCGAAAGCTCCGCAAAAGAGGGCTATGAGGGTAACCAAATCTTGATCGGTTTTGAGGGCCGCTTGTTTGGCTGAGTTTCTTTGCCGTCGCATTAGCCAGCAGCATGGTTAAGGCCCGGCACGCAGTTGGATTGACTTCTTGGCTCCTGTGTGGCTGCAGCCTAGTTTAGTCAAGCAAGTTTCTTAGCTGGGGATTGTTCGAATTAAAGCAAGCTTGGGTTTATTTACCCCTGTGTTTGTGCTTTTGAGGGCCCACAGGGAAGCCACTTGTGGGACCCCTAAAAGAGACACACCCATGAAACAGAATCTGGAAACATTATTTTCTGAGAGGTCCTTCTTCGTGGGCCAAGGAGTAATAGGGTCGTTTTCTGGTTGTGCCACTGTCTGCCTTCGGAGCCAGCCATATTGCGAAACAAGGCTGTAGGTTGCACTCGGGCGCGGCGGCCGAATTGTTTAAGCTATGGTGTTTTCGCCGAGCGCCAGAGGCACAAGGACTCTGTGCGAATTTTCGGGCCTTTTTCCGCGTGCCCAAAAGGCGCTTTCGTTGCGGGGCACTTGTCCCCAAAATCCGAAACCTCTGCCAATGGTCTGCAAAACGAGCATTCCAATAAACACCTTTGCCAGTGAACAAACCCAAGTTGGGTGTTTCTTAAATGTCGGTCCTTTTTCGAGTTGAGGGCCGAAACGGAGTGGGAGGAACAATGCGCCTTATTTGTCAGTCTTGTTGGTTTGTTTAAAGGGAAGCTATGTGCCAAGATGAAAGATGGAGGTGTTTTCGCTTCTTACATGCTTGCCGGATGCTGATTCGACCATTTTGGGTACCCTGCCAAAAAATAGGGGACCCCCCCAAGTTTTTCCTTTTTTCCTGAAAAGTGCACCCGCCCAAACAAGAACAAATGTTCGGCCGCCCACCGCTATCCCCCCGCTCACTTGGCTTTCTGAGGCATTTGGGATATACATGCCTCCTCTTGGCCGACTCGGAGGAGGGGAACTGGAGAATTTAGGCTTCCAAGCGTGTGGTTTGTCAAAATTGGAATCGCTCCCTTTGGTTTCCCTTCAAGAATCCATTTTGCGAAACACTGTGTGACTCGCGCTATGCAACTACCTCATGTTTCGAAGATGGGCCTGAATTTTTATTGCTCCCTCCAGTGCTGTGGCCGAGGATTCAACAAACATGGAACCTCAAGAGATTCCGCTAGAAGGTATAAAGCATAGGGAAAAAACAAGACAACTTCAATATTTTAGCGATGCAGAACACAATGCAAGCGGGATCCAAGAAATGATGGGTTCCTGGTTTCCACGGCCTAATCAGATTCCATTTTAGGAGGAGTGATGGTTTAAACCAAATTCGGCCAGCCGGATGCGCATCCGGCCTACTGACTGGCGGCCAGGGCAAGTGAGCCCGGGCGGCTCGAATGCCGCGGCAGTCTTAGCGACTCTGCGAGGGTGCCCTTACTTGGGTTTGTTGTAAGGGAAACAAAGGAACACCCTCTCATGTTGGGGGAACCGCATTGTGAGACACACCTAGTATGGGCTCTTTGGGGTGTCTGTCTGATTTCCACACCGACTCACAAGCGACAGACCCATACTGATGCATATTGACGTTGTGCTATTGCATGAGTTTAACACCAAAGATGCCGGTTTTCGTTTTACCCTTTGCGCCGCTGTTTTCCTTGGATTCCGCTGTGTGCAGCCGAGGTTGTTCCAGAACCTCGTAGCGACATCTTCAGCAAGACCAAAATGTGTAAATTTAAGCTGATTGGCGTCTGCATCAAGGCGAGATTAGTCGATCGCGGATGAATCGATCCGGGGATTCGTCGTTAAAAACAGAGGGATCCGCTTTTCGCGTTAAAAACAGGGGGATCCGTTTTTGGCAAGTTGGGAATGAGTCGAATCGACGGTGGCGCAACAATTTTGGGCTAAGCACCCCCAAAGTATCCCAGGTCGCTGAATTTTACTGGTGAAAACTTGTCCCCTGGATTATCCAAAGCCACGGAGCTGCCGTGGCGAAACTTTCTTGATGGAGATCGGCCCAGAGTGAAAGGCTCCCCTGCTGGCGTCTAAATTCTGAATCGCCAATTTAGTTCCCCCGAAAGGAAACCCGAAGGGAGCTGGAGAATTGAATATGGTTCCAGACATTTTTCTGTCCCATCCATGCTTCACAGAAAATGGTCGACCAAGAAAGGAATGGCTCCTGTTACTTTTCTACCACTGGTCACAGGAGATGGATGCGGCATGAATTCTATTGGGCTCTTGCAGATGATGTATTTGTATGGACGACCACCTCACTTCAGAACTAGTGCTTGTACGTTTGAATTCGCATGAGCTGCCTTTGTTTCGGATGGCACATAGGCCTTCGCGACGGGCGTGGCTAAGCAAGGAGGTGATGCCAAACAAAAGACAACCTGGTTCCGTAAGCCCCTCCCTGCGCTGGGTAGGGTTTTCTCGCATCCGGCTTCGGGGACTGTCAATTACTTTGGGTGGTCGCCTTTTTCAAGGTACCCCTGGTAGGTTTTGAAGGGACATGGAAAGGAACTTCAGAACACTCGGTTTGCCGGGAAAAAAAGCCATGAGCTACGAAATACCAGAGAAAACAGGGGACTTTCCGAGAAAAGAGGTTTTGTACAGAAAAACCCTGGTGTTCGTTTTGCTGACGGGTGTTTAGGGTGTTTGTACGGGACAATACGGTGTTTTTCGTGTTGCTTACGGGTGTTTTCACAGGTCCAAAGTCGAAACACCCCGCCCCGTTTTTCCTGCCCAAACCAGGTTTTCGCAGAAAAGCTGAAAAACACAGGTTGTTTGGTTCTGACCTGGTGTTGGTATATTTGCTTCGTGTTGACGGGAGTGTTACACTCCAAGAAACCGGTCCCGACCCCAATCAAAACCAAGAGGTTCTTCCGGGGTTCCCAGCGGTCCGACCAGTTCGATTGCCAGGTCTCCGATAGATTTTCCCTCTTAATCTATTCCTAAAGTTGTCAAGAACACTAGTGGCCCCCGCCAATCTCAATAAGGGCCAATAGCGACTCATAAGGCCTATTTAGGGCCTGGGTGCCTTGATGTTTGACGTCTCCTCTTTGGCGGCCCCTTGACAACCATGGAATCTATGCCTTTTGGGCAAGTCAAAGGGAAAAGCAACTTGTGAGGTAGCTTGCATTGCATCACAATGTATGGCATTACACTATAATACGCTAGATTTGCTAGTACATACGCACACACATATGTATATATGTATATATGTACATATACACACTATATACCAGACATGACCATACTTGACATACATGCGCAGCTGTGATTCCAATTACGGCGCCAGGGAAGCTCGTGCATGTTTGCACATACCCAAGATGAACTGAAGCCAACCCCAGCTGCGGGCTCAGAGATCGCCGATCGCCGATCCGTGCCGGGGCTTGCTGCGGCGCTTCTTTTTTTTCCTCCATTCTTTTTTCGGTCTCAAGATGGCGGGGGTGCCCCCCCCCCAAAAAAAAATGGCGGTTTTCCTGTTGGTTTCCCTTGAAAACCACAAAACACAATAGGAAGCCTCGGAAAAAGACACCCCGTCTTTTTCCGGTTTCGGGGTTGGTTCAAAGGGATGCCAAAAAAAAGAGAGCCAAATTCCTATCTTCAGACAAATGGGTGTGTCTGGGGTCAACGCTTGGTGCCATCTTGCATCCATAGGTGCTTGACTGAACATATGGTGTCAGGTTGAACGTTGGCCAATGTGTGACGTGTGTTTTCGTGGGAGGGTACCCTTTTTGGGGTTAGTTTAAAGGGAAGACAAAAGGCCGCCACCCAAAATACGTTGGCGCTGGGGAATTGTCAGGTTCCGAGTTTTGACCATGGCGCACGGGAAGCACACCTTGCTCCTCTTTCCGAACTAGTCTTTCCGGTTGCAGACGATGAGCTGAAAGTCGAAAGCGTTTCCGCGTCCAAACTGACCCCAGTTGTCCAGCGGGTTCCAACTGAATCGAGAAGGAGAGGGGGCGGAATCAACAAATCCCATCCAGAATATGACTGGCGATTTCCTCCCAGCCCAAGACTCGGCGAAGTTGCTTGTGCGGTTTTAAAGAAAGTCAAAAGGACACCCACGATTTTGGGGTGCCTAAAAAAACAAACCCATACATATACCCTCCGATTTGGTGCTGGATTCCACCGCTCCGGGGGTGAGATGCGCAGATGTGCATATATGACCTCTACCTAGGGATTTTGGAATGGGTGTGAAGTTTCGAGATTTGTAGATTTGCAAGATGGCTAGGAACAGCGGCCACCACATTCCTCTGATTCCTCTGTGGGTTGCGGAGCAAGTCTTGAGATATTCGAACATCGGCTTTGGGGTCTACAGAGCAACCCTGTTGGTTTAAACATCACTCGGGCCAGCCCTCGACTCACTCACTGACTTCCAGGATTTGAGTCACTGTTTAGGGGTTGGATTATTTTTCAGACTGATAAAGAAACAGTTTGCTCATTTTGTCTGGCCAAGCCCTCGGGAAGTGAGTGAATTAGGTCTTTTTGGTGGTGAGGTTCAGGGGGACGGAATGGCAAACGGAGCAAAGGGTTCGTGATTACAACTCATGCCCGTATGTGCCATCGTCGAAACACTCTGATCCTCGTTGACCCCAAGTTGGACCCATGAGCCTGCGCCTTGGCTTCTGCCCGCGCTCCTTGTCGCGGACCCTCGGAGCAAGAACCGAAAAAAGCTGGCCATCCGCAATCAGCGCCTCGGTTTTTTCGCGGCGGCGAACAAACGGCTTGGACTTTCCGCAGCCCAGCGCCAGTGCCTGCCAACTCCTCCGTCTTGCCCCTGGTAGTTGACTTTCGTATCCGTTTTTTCTTTTGAAATCAGGGAAGCCGGCGAGCTTCTCCGCGGGGAAGATCCTGTCATGGAATTCCTCAACGTCCTTTGCGGCCAGCTCGTAAGCGAAGCCCATAGGGCGATTGTGTGACTGCGGCTTGCGGACGCAACCGAGGGTCTTGTGAAAGGTAAACCTCGTGGAGTGGTGTAGGTGTATGATGAAGCAATCAAACCGGGTTAGTCATGAAATGAGGAAGGAAAAAACCAGAGGTTCTGGGTCGTTGCACCCCTATCTGCACGCTGCCACCAAGTACAAGCACTTGGGGACATATGTGGACGGCAAGGTGTCCATGGACTCGCCCTTGGGGGGCTGGTCTAAACGAAGAAGACGAAGGGGATCCACACAGTTTGTGGCCCCCTGTTTCAAGATAATACATCCTTTGTTGAGAGTTCAGAGCTATTTCGGGTTTTCAAGACAAAACCCAAAGCAGAAACGTGGATTTTGCGGTTCCCCCATTCATAGACGAAGCCATTTATTTGTTTTGTCCGCCAGTTCAAGCACGCTTCTCAGGGTTCCTTCGGACCGTGTGGAAAGCAACAACCCTTGGAGCAGCTCGCCCAGGTTTTTTGCCATGGCCGCTGGAGGTCTGGGAAGTTGTTCGGCTATTCATCTGGTTTCTCCCCCAGTCTTTTGCCACCAAGAAAAACACAATAGGCCCGCGAGGCCACAATGGGCATTGTTTCGCACCCATGTGGCTGAGATAATTTGGTGCTTGTTGAAAACCCAATCGAGGCACAGTTAAGGATCAATGAAATGGGATAAAGGGGTTGGCGCCCTTTCATTAGTCGAGTTACCTTGCCTTTTTGGTTAATTAAATCCCAACCAATTCGAGTCATGGTGTCTTTAAGCCCTAACTTCCCAAGCTTCTGGAACTGTAGTCACCTGTTGTCAAGACCTAGTCAGTGGTCAACAAACAATTTGCACACTTGTTTGGCCAATCCACTCGGGAAGTGAGTTAATTTCCGCAAGGTTCTCTTTTGGAAACCGAACAACAAGAGGTTCACCCCCCCAAAACCCAAAACAGCACAGCTTGGTGGCTCCGCGCCGGTTCACGCCAGTGTCTGAACCGGCCTCAGGATTTGTTTCGCACCAAGATCTGCAAGACACTGATCAACACAGGCGCCGGTCGAGAAGATCGGCTGATCCCTAAATAAATCGGACCCCGCTTTTTGTTTCTCCACCCCAACACCCCTAAAAGGCAATTTTAGCTGGCGGGACCTGGTGAAAAAAGGGGGCATTCCCAACACAGGCCAGCTCGGGTGTTGTCCCGATATACCCTGCTACCCAAGCTGGCCAGGGGCCTCACTTGTTAAAGCTGGTTGCGTGTCTGCTTTTTTTTTTTTAAGGCGACAGGGTACCCGTTTGCGGGATTGCAAGAGAAGCCAAATGAGCTCCCATCTTTTGGGGTTAGACAAACCCACGTCCTTTTGAGGGATTGATTGTAAGCAAAAAGGACTTTCAAATGTTCAACCTCTTTAGGTTTCTCTGTGTTTAGTTGCTGGAAGAAAGATAATATCGTTGCCCCTTCCCAAAGCTGCGCCACTGTCTTTCAAGATATCGCACAACTCATTGTCACTAGCTTAGCATTCTAATTGTTGCCGCTGGTTCTTTTGTGTTCCCTAAAACTGTTAACTTCTTCCCGGAGGGTGGGATCTGTCTACGCCGATGTATAGTCTGAAACATGCCCTAACAGCTGTTTTTTGTGACCTCGGGGGCCTCTTTGATGACTACTGACTTGGGGATTCGACTTCTTTCGGGTACGCGTGGATTATGCTTGATTTTCGCGACTCGGGTTTCGGTACCAGGATTGGACACGGGAGATTCCAATTGCGTCTCCAGTTGTCGCCCAACAATTCCCGGGGAATTTACACATGGGTGTATCTTTTTTGAGGGTACCCCGGTACCCCTTTGTGTGGTTTTAATGGGAACCAAAAGGACAACCACAATTTTTTGGCCCCCCCCCCAAATGCGTACTAACTGTACCCATTGGATGGATATGTGAGGCGGTTGCTACTCACTGACGTTTCAACCTGTCTCTTTTCGGGGACATGGGGAGTGAGGTTCCCCCGGTCCCCAGTTTTGGAAGTCCACGGGTACGCGCCCTATTTTTTGATAAGCAACCGTCATCAGTTTCGCTTCTGCTTGAACCTGAGGGTCCTGGGTGACTTCACGTTGGTAACGCCAAGAGGCCCAATTGAGACGAGGTTAGTCGCCCAGAACAATGGCGCAAGCCAAGTCAACAGCCCCGGCACCCAAAGATGGGGAATCTTAACACCTTGAAGCAGGGGCTTAACCCTCTTGAGCCGTGACCCACATGGCATATGCCAGCAACTGAGCACATCTCAGCCTTTCCAACATGAGAGATGCAAAGGATGGGTGTCAGTCTTGTTGGACCCCTTGCGACTCCCTGAATGGGGAGAATCAAATGGCACCCATCTGGTCCAGATTGGGAACCTTTCTTCTTGAACAACCTTTACATTGAGCCATGGACAATATGCTTTGTTCTCAAAGAACAAAGGACATGGACAACTTGGGTGGGCGGTTTTGGTTTTACTGGGACATCTGGATTTGGGTGGGCTGCCAAACAATTCACGTAGTCAACCAGCATGCTGCTCACACAGGGTTGGCCCACATTTTGGTGTCCTTTTGGCCGATGTATGACATGCCCCAGCAACATGGGTGTGCCCCCCCTCAAAGAAAAGGTGAGTTTGCTGTTGGTTTCCCATTAAAGCCACAAACAAAAGGGGTACCAACTCCAAGAAAGTCACACCCAAATGTCGCCTAAACTTTGCAGGGATCCAGCCGAAGGATTCGTGCAAGAAGTTTTTCCGAGTCCGCGACAGGTGCCTGCCAAAACCCACAATGCCGGTGCGCCATCGATCGTGGAGCCTTTGGGTTTGGGAAGTCCCCCAGTTGTCGCAAGATTCGCTCGGCTGTGTGGGGCTCCATTTGTCAGAGCTAGATTTATCTCCCGTGCTTTTCCCGTTTTTTTTTGGGACGATTATCAGTCTTAATTATCAGTTCTTTCTTTGTGTTTGTTTCTTGTTTTGCTTTTAGGGAACTACAAGGTTTGTTTTTCATCTTTTAGGGATAATTGTCTCCCCCATTCTGATTTTTAGGGATCCCTCTTTCCAGAAGGCCTCACACAAGAGCAAGTTGAACGTTGCAGAGAATGCCTTAGAAGTCTTCCCAGCGTTCCCTCAATTTCCTCAAACCTCTTCATAGAAGCCAGCTACAGGAATTTCTACATGAATTTTGCCAGAAGCCAGGACTGTCCTGTACACTTTCCTGGTTTGGTTTGGAAGTTCCCCTCCGAGTCCGAGTTGGACGTCTCTCTACCGCAATGCCGGATGTGCCGAAAGCACATCACTACGTCTCCCTTGTTTGGGTTTTTTGGTGGAACCCTTCCGGGCCATGTGCGGAGCGATTTAGTCAGCCCGGAAGGCATGTGAAGTTGAGTGGCTTGAGAAGGCCTGCTCAGAATCAACATTGGTTCCTTAGACCACGGTGCGTTTTCAATTTGGATGTCGGCTGTTTACTTGTTTCGTCCAGCCATGTGAGATGGATGGACTTTACTTGGCTCGTCCTGGACGGTATCTCTTGTGGTCTTAAAGGAAAGCCGCAAGGAATGTTCGAGCTCCATTTTGAAAGGGTCCCATACAACAGACTCTACCCCTTTCCAAGCTACACTGGACTTGTGCCGACTTGCGCTTGTTGGATTTGGGCGTGTCCTTTGGCTCGGTACACTCTGCTCGGGGTTTTCTTCCCCCGGGAAACCACGGCCCCCCCGTGTGGGCGAGCAAGTTTGCCAGCCGAGGTTTCCGTGGCACTCCCAAGCCCGGGCAGAGTAAGGGACGGTCTTTTCGCTGCGAAGCCGCACAGATTCTTCACGTTTTGCGTGGACAGAGAGATTTGTCCTTTTGCCCGGGGTCCGATGATGCTTCCTGGGTGGTGCAGGTAGCGTACCCGGTTTTCAAAGCTTTGGTATCGCTTGTAACGCACATGTTGATAGGAAGCTGGTGTTGTGTATATAGGTTTGCACATTCAGGTAGTCGCAGACCTGTTTGTAGCAAGCGGACATCAGCCAGCTACATGTTTGGATCTTTGGAGTCGCGATGTTTGCAAGTGCGGATCAACCCACAAACGGATGCCGTGGAAACGAATAGAATTGAAAGCCAGTTCTTGGACCTTTCAGTTTCCGGATCCGACCAGGGCAAGTGTCCCTCACAGGTTTTGGAGTAGCGGGGTGCCGGTCTTTTTGTTTTTTGGGCGGCTGCAGTACCCTGGGTGGCTGTGGGTCAAAACCAATGGTACTATTTTTTTGATAGGTGCACCACCCATTTTAGTCTATTTCAGTGGGGGTTGGGATGTTCACTGGGGGTACGGGATTTTGATCCATGGCCCCCTGGGCTGACGGCAAGCCTCCAGGTATGCCCACAACAAGGAGGAGTTGCGCACCTCGATGAACCGAGCCAAGCCAACAAGGCACGAAGTTCGATCAGGGGCTGGAGGCTTTGGGGGCTGGGGTTGGGCGTAGAGGTGTCCGTTTCGGTTGTTTTGGTAGAACAGCCAAGGGTTTGCTGACCTGGTTGTTTCATTTTCTTCCAGGGCCATCTAGTTTCCCAAAAGGCGCCTATGTTTGGGTGTGTTCCTTGGCTTCAGGGTACCAGCTCGGTTATCGGTCCTTGGAAACGTGGGGACGGAAGGCAAGTGAAGAGAAGGGAGCGAGGGAGAGGGATCGAGTTTGCTTTTGTGACTCGCAACAACGGGTCTGGTGTTTCATGTTTGACCGGAGGGAGCTGAAATGAGCAGCCTGAGTTCGGAGTTGGGCAACGAGGCTGGGCAAAATGTTGTAGCCTTGCGAGTGGATCGAAGGGTTTTGAACACGGCATTGTCCCCACCCTGCCAACCCACAAAGGGACGTGCCAGCAACTGGGGTATCGGTTTTGGCTATCCCATGTTGTGTGGGTTTTGCAGGTGAGTATCGGTTTTGCAGGTGGTATCAGTTCTGGTGCTAATACTTGCTTGGTTGCTCCGATGAATTTGCTGGATACCCTCTCCCCATTGTGTTCTGGGATCTGCAAAATCAACCCTCAGAGCAACTCTGTGCCGCTAGTTGGGCGCTGGGCGCCATGACCACTTGACTCCTGACTTGTCACTCGGGGCTGGTACTGGCTCCAATGGTAATTCCGTTGCCAGAGGCTTAGACAACAGTTTTCAGATTCTGTATAACTCACTCCCCAAGTTCATGGACTTAGCATTTTTCAGAAGATCCTTAGTGGCGAACAACACTATGTTTTAGGGTTGGACGTATTGGTCTATCTCCGATTCAAGAGCAATCCTGCACTTTCTGGGGAGACACCCCCCCCACCACCTGAATTTCTACCGGGTCGACACAGGTTTAATATGGATTTCAAACCGTGCGGCTACAGCGAGCCAACGAGATCAACGTGCAGCTCCCCTAAGGATCACTTGAGTTTCTGCTGACACACACATGAATTCAGGAATATGTATATTGCTTGATGCTGGACCAGTGGGGCCACGTCATATCCCTCCACTGACATCTTTTGCTTCTCGATGCACTTTTTTGATAGATTGACCTTCAAAATCTATTTTGTTTGGTTTCGCAACAAGAAAGGGCTCCCTTCCAGTTTAGGCCTCGCTAGCTGAAGTCACCTTGGCCTTGCCACCCAACACCCCGTCCCCAAGAGAACATTGGTATGGAGTAATGGTCAGTTGCTCGGACAGTACAAGACCTGACCGCACCTCCAAGTACCACCGGGACTGCGCGCGCCGTCTCGTGGTGAACCTCAAAACGCGCGGCGGTGAGGGGTCTCAAAAAAAGTTATCTTTACTCCACCAAACAAGTGGGTCATTTTGAGGATACCTTTCTGAAACGGGTGTGTCTTTTTGGGTCCGGCAAAATGTCGGTTTTCTTTTGGTTTCCCTCCCAAGCCGCCCAAAACAACAGGTACCCTCCAAAAAAAAGACACACCCACGGACCTAGTTTTTCTGGGACTGAAACGACGACACCTGAACCCCCGAACCCCCCCCCCCCCCCCCGCAAACCACTCGGTGCCCTTCCAAAGCCCTCGGATTCAGGGGCAAGCAGCCCAATGTAGCCCGGGGACTCAAGCTTGCGATGGATTCGGTCCTGAAAGGGCGACTTGGGGCTGGTTTCTACTATTCTCCCTGCCAACATGGATTGGGGGTTTTGATCCCATCCAGGGATACTAGGGTGAGTTCTATGAATTCTATGATTTACTCTCCAACAATCGTGGAAGCTGACGATCGGCGGGTTTTGGAAGACGAAAGGTTCCCTTTTGGGGAAGCCCCGAGACGTCCTGTTCTATGATTGGAAGGAGGCTGCTCTACCACCGGCCATGGTTTGGTGACACAGGTTGGGGACTCAATTTGTCCATTCCAAACAAACCAATGTGCATCGCTCACTCGTGCCGTCTTAAACCACGCTTTGACTTGGCCGGCATTGTTGTATTTCCAGCATCAAGCACAGTATTGTCCATGTGTGCGTGTACCAAAGCTGAGGTCACGGACTTTTGGCATATGTGTAAAGCAAATCAGGATGCAACCCCGGAATACAATGCCTGCCACGGAGTCTGAGTGGTTCAAAGAAAATGGTTTACGAGCACTTTGTCAAGTGCAGAAGGGGTCAATATTACGCTTACTGATTCCTTTTTGGCGTTCGCAACCCAACTCAAGGCTGAACTCCGAATGACTTCAACTGACTTTTTTTTTTCTGGCTAGGTCGCCTGAGCGGCGAAAGGAGGTTCTGGCTTGGTCACTTGCAACATTTAGAGACTCAGTCGTATTTTCCACATCTCTGATTGGGCTCACTCCCCGCCAGTCTGGCAAGGTGATTTTTCCCAATAGCTCCCCTAAACCAGTTCGGATTGTAATTGGTGTCCTGCGTGCCTGAGTGCGTGTATGCGTGCATGGGTGAAGGGGCATGCATGTACTTGTTTTCACGAGAAGGCAACTAGGAAAAAGACCTGTCAGAGGAGCGGATGTGTCTCTTCTCGAGGGTGCCCCTTTTGTGGTGTTTTTTCAAGGGAAACCAAAAGGAAAGCCGTTGCGCCATTTGGGGGGTTCCCAAAAAAGGCACGCCCAAGTGGTTGCACATGCCGAGAGCTGCCCAGAGCAACGGCCACCGTGCAAACGTGGGCCGATGCCGAGGAGGAGTTGGCGATGGAGATGCAAGCGCCGGCCTCAGGCCATCGGTGAATGGACTCAGGAATCGGCCCCCGCGTGGCGCAGATGCGTTGTTTGACGATTCTTTTAAAGGAGGGGGTTGTCCTTGAAAATCAGCCAGCAAACAAAAGGTGACCTGTTTTTTTGTCATGGCCGCTGGGGGCTACATGATTACCAATAGTTTACTCCTACCATGGCTAAGGCTGGCTTTTCTGTGCTCGGAATCCCATGTCAAGTTATTTCGACCCTTGTATTACATGGTTCAAAGGGTCTGAGGGACACTTTTTTCGGAGACATCGCCTTTTTCCCGTCTACAGGCGCCGGCCATGTGCCAGGACACAAGGTGATCACCTCACCCAGCGCTTCCCTCTTCAGGGCGTTTCGCTGTGCCAAGAGACGCCAGCCATGGTAAACCTAGAAGTAAGACATCCGATTCCGGTTACCCCGCTGTGGCAAAACGCCAGGCACGGGGTCCCAGGGAGGAAACCGGAGGCCGCCAAATTGGGAAGGCAACACTGTTCTGACAGGCCTGACGAATTCCTTGAAACTTTGGGGATCCGCCAAGTTTTTTTCTCTTTCTTTGTCATTTTTGAAATGATCAATAGTCAGGGTCATTCTGCAGAACAACTTCGGCCCTCACTTGTCCCACAGAACAAGGGAGACTCTGAGTATGTCATGTTTTCCGATTCCGTGTCATAGTTCGTCTATTAGCCTAAGCGTAGTAGGTTTCGTAGATGGACGCGAGCGGGGGCTCGCTCGTCATATATGAGATCTACTCCTTGCACTCTTTTTTTTTTGCGGCTTCATACTTTCTTTGGGCGTAAAGATTTAACGTCTTCGAGTTTCAATCCCAATGATTTGTTTGACTTTTAGGTTCAACTGGCTGGTCCTTGGTGCGACCCCCAAGGCTCAAAAGGACCTTTTGGAAACTAATTTGGCTATGAATCCTGCAAAAGGTGAGACGGACCTTTTGCCCATCTCGGGGGAAAGAGCAACGAAGTACGGCATTTCCTGCCACATATGCATGTTCCGAACTGCTAGTTATTTGTAGCTCAGCGTGCACTTTATTGTTTAGATGCCTTTGCAGGAAGATGTGCACAGGAGCAGAATGTTCACAAGTTTACTAGAGTTCACATGTGTTTTTCAAAAACAACATTGCGGAGCTTGCTTCGCATAGATACGCGCGCCCCACGGCCGCTCGAAAGCTTCCCTGCTATCTTTAGGGCTGGACATGAAAGGGATTTGTTGAATGAATGAATGACAAGGGCGATTTGCAGTCCTTAAAAAATGGACAAACCCGGGCAATTGGGCTTGAAAAGGATAGGTGACGCGTGAGTCAATCCTACCGCTAAACAAGAACCATTAAGGGAGCTGGTGTCTTTCTGGGAGGGGCCTTGAAATTTTCCGATTGATGTGGGCCCCTGTCCAATATGTGTTGTATCCAAGTTTCGTTGGATCCAAGCCAGGAAAGACAAGGGCAGCAGCACCATCGACTCATTGTGTTAACTTCCAAACTTGAACATCCCCGCCCCTTCGGACCTCCGCTTGGGGCCTTTCCTTTTTCCCAGGGCCCAACTCATGTTTCGGATTCGGCCAAGGAGAGGCCCTCGCATGGTCTCGATAGCCAGGCCTGAAACCCGGTGCGCCTTGTGAGACTCTATAGGTCCCCTCAAGGTCCTTGCGTTTTTGAGGGACCTGTTCCGGGGGTGGGTTAAAGGTGGGAAGCCATGAGGCTAGATCCAGGAAATCATATTGGCAAATTGGTTCACAAGGGATTCCGACAGACGCGCGATTTGTCCTTAGGGATTCCTTGTATAGTCATTTGCCCAGCGTAGCCCTCTATTCAAACTTCCAGAAGCTCGCCAAACGCCCACACAAAAGGTTTGGGCGGTTGGATCCTGCTGTTTTGCTACCGTCGCCATCGGCTATCGTCCCCGGGAATGTCTGCATGTTTGTCAAGCTGTGCTTCGTGTCACGGGAAGGGAGTCCCGGAGGGCCCGGAAGAACCAGGTCTGGATGTCCCTGTTCAAGTAAATGGTCAAGCTTGAGAAGTGTAAGAATTGTAATCCGCAAGGCACACGCAAGATTGTTTTGTGTCTATCTCAGTTGCTGGGAGATATGTTGCAAAACAAAGGCCGTGAGCCAGGTAGGCCTGAAACATGATCGCTGATGATTCCATGTAAGGGCAACAGGCCCCAAAAACAAGAACAGGGGGTTTGGGAGGGGCTGCTCATTGCCCCATGCCGAACTGCAAGCTTTGGTTCGAATGTGTTGGACTTTCGTCTGACCTAAGTCTCCTCCTTACAAGAACATGTTGCGCTGCGCTGTCGACTCGCACTTGTCCGCTCTTTTTTTTGCTATTTGTCAACGGTATCTGGATTCTCGCATCGATTTGGTGACACAGCCGCGTGATCCTTGAGCTTTGTTGCTTCGGTTGCTCTCCTCCCGCATACATTGCCTTGACAAGAGCTCCGAAGAATCTTGCAAGCGAGGAGCAGGTGCTGGTCTGCCTGTCGCTATCCTGCTTGCGGCTCTGCTGGCATCTTCAGGTGGGTGCCCTGCTTGTCACGCTTCATGCTTGATGCTTGCTGGTTGCCTCTGGTAGGATCTCGTTTGGTCGCCGCCTGATGCTGCCGCACCCGCGCCGGGGTTTGCCATGTCTGCACGATCTGACTGACACAGTGTCCTGAGCCCGCTCTCCGTCTCGCTCCGGACGCCTCGTTCCTCGACACAGTCTCCCTCCTGGGCTCTTCCTCAACGAGCTCGCCTGGAGTTGATATGTTTCCTTTGTGGCAAGAAGTTGCAGCAAAGACAAGAACCTCTCCGTCTTGGAGCAAGCCAGCCTTGCACCATCGGCAGCTTGAACATAAAGTCGGCAGTTTGGGGCCCCTCGAAGCCGTTCCTCGAGAGCCGGGCAGTCAACACTGCCAAACAGCTCATCAAACCAAGCACTTAATTACAACACACAGTCTCATGTGTGGCAAGGAGAAAGGACCGCAAGGGGGCCAGCTTGCCCCATCGGAAGGAAGGGGTGAACCGGGCGATGTCAGCCCTTGGCTGACTTCCGACTACGAGTTGACTTCAACCGCACTGAGTGTCGAATGACAAGACCTGCGAATCCCTAAGAAATATAATGTGTGGGCGAATCTGGAAATACCCCAGCAGTCAATGGATTACTGGCTCTCTGTTTCATGGTTTCCCCCGTTTTGAATGGATCTTTTGACGGTTTCTGGGGGTTCTCCAAGTCAGAACATGGGGTTGTTTCCCTACAACCTACCAGTTAGGGGGTGACTTTGATCATGGTAAAACAACGAGGCCAGTAAGGAGTCCGTTTCCGCCGAATCTCCAACTTGAGCGTGCCACTCGAGGTGTTTCCCGTGCCTGTGGCAATGCCCGTTGGCCGCGCTGGGGTTCCCAGAGCCAAATGCCCGGGTTTGCTTCAGGTTTTCCTTGGACACGACAAGAAAGGTACCGACTCAAAGAGGGCATGGTGCCCCAAATCTGCTGGAGTTTGGTTGTACATAGATATTGTACACATGCACACATGCACATGCTGTGTATGCACATATATATATATACACATAATATATATATATATATATATACATATATATATATATTTGTATACATGTCAAATGTGGATATATACATATACATGTATGTACATCTGAAATCCGACAAGGACTAAAATGCCTTGGCTTCCAGAAGCTTTGCCGGCCTTCCCTTGAAGAATAGTCCAACATGCGGGCTTTTCAAATCTGCCCCTTCAATTTGGTGACTGCGGTGCGCGCACCGGAAGTCAGAACATGTTGCGTGCCGATAGGTGTCAAAGCAAGTTGGAGCATTTGTTTGAGGCAATCATCAGACACAGAAGCCGTACAAATGCTGTCGGATTGCTCTTGCTGTGGGGCGGTGTTTAACCTCGAAAGTGAACACTTTGCGGATTTTCGGCGTGCGAATTTTCAACATCGAAAGTGAGCCCCCTGCGGACTTTAGGTGGCTCGGGTCGGTCTCGCTGTGGTGCGGTGCGCAAACATCGAAGCACAGGACCTGCAAAGATACTCTTGCAAGAGATCTTGTAGATCCTCGACAGAGACCTTAGGATCCTCTCATGGATCCCGCGCACGAATCTTGCCAAGAGACACTATCCAGAGATCCTGCGCGCAGATCTTGCCAAGAGATCCTATCAGGAAATCTCGTGCAGAGATCCTGTACAAATCCTCCCAAAGATATCTCCTTGAGAGAGCTGTTGCGCAGTTGCCAAGAGACCGAGATCCTGCAAACATCCTGCAAAGATCCTCCCATAGATCTCTCCAGGCGTCTCGCGCAGACCCTCTCGATTCCGCGCGATCTTGCACAGAGATGCTGCAAAAATCCGAAGATATCTTGCCTGGTCCTTCTAGAAGTCCTCCAAAGGTCTTGCGCAGGACCTGCGAAGATGTCCTTTCAAGAGGGGCTCCCTACTCGCGGAGGATCCTCTGAGAGATCCTGGCCGGGAGGTCCTACCAAGAGGTCCTACCAAGAGGTCCTACCAATACATCTTTCGAAGAGATCCTGTAGAGATTCTGTCACAAATGTCTTGTGACGGTCGAGTACCCGCAAATGTTTAACAGAACGCTTGTAGAGGGCATCCTTAAAGGACATCCTACTCTGAGATCTCGTGCAGTGAATTGCAGAGATCCTGCAAAGATCCTCCACAGATTTGTTGCGCTGGCCTGTAAAGCTCCACGCAACAGATCTTGCGCAGGACTCGCCAAGGTTTCATGTCGAGACATCTTCCAGAGGACGCTCTCTACAGATCCTGAAAAGATGGCTTGTAGAAGTTTTTTTCTTCGGAGATCCCGCAAACAGATTTTGTCAAGAGATCCTGTCAAGAGACCCTATCCACAGATCCTGCAAAGATCCTTCCCCAGAAACATTAGTAGAATTTCTTTCAGAGAATCTTGGGCGGAATTTCTTTCCAACGGAGATCTTCTACAGGAGCTTCAGAGGGCTTCTGTTTCAAGAGCGCGCGCAGGACCTTTTACCGAGACCTTGTGTGCATCTCCTGCGGCTACTTTCATGTTACTTGCGTGGATTCCTGACTCACTTTTTGAGCATGGTTTGTGGTCACTTGCCGTGGGCCTTTTTTCTGAACGTACTTTCACCCTTGACGGTTCACGCAATATGGGCCAGGAGCACACATATTGTGCTGGCACGGACAAAAGCAAAGGTAGCGTGGACGGTGGCTCATATTCAAACACAGAAAAAGTTTGTGTTTAAACGGCTCCTGCTTTGAAAAGCAGCTTCAAGCGGAACCCCCAACCAGGTTCAAGTCAATTGGTTTAGAGGTTCAGGCCCCATGGAAGCTACCCCAACTTCCACCAGGCTAGTCGCAGCTTAGGAAGCTAGCTGAAAAGAAATCACCCACCTTGAGTAGATCTTAAACTCCCACACCCCCTAACCTCGCCCAGTTTCCTCAAGCCGTGACAAGTCCTGGATTCTGAGTTTGAAGCCCGGGAAGGGTTTGGGGAGGGTTTGGAATTCTGTGTGGCTGGAGAAGCATCCGCTTTGTTCCTGGTTCAGGGCTTATAAGGCTTGACCTCCAGCGTGCCCACATTGCTCATCAGTTCAAAGCAAATCGACCAGATTTTTTGGTCAACTTGTACAGTCAAGGTCTCAAAAAGTGGTCATTTTGTGTTTCCATGTCCCTAAGGGGCAAATCGGCAAGTGAGTGTTTGAACAGGTGTTTTCGGCCGTCCGAGGTTTCTACTGGCTGGCAAGGTGCAGGCTGGATGCGCGAGAGGAACTGGAAAGGCGCTTTTGCTGGGGATCCCGTCAAAAAATGAAACAATGACTCCGAAAGAAATTGTCCCCATGCCCAGTTCGTAAATTCAAGGGGGTCCATTGGTTTATTCCCAACCCCGCTGCTCATTCCCAGACCAGAAAATTCATTCCGGCCAGTTCGTCTTGAGATTCGGCTGCCCTTTATCAGGTTGGTTCAGCCAGCAAACCCTTTTGATTTGCGGGCGTGGTGCTGGCACATGGACAGCCGCGTCGGCAGGCAAGCTTCGCATTTCGAGCCATGGCAGAGATCCGCCAACCCTCCCTGCATCTCTTTTTTTGTTGCAATCATGCAGGGCATAGGCAGCAAGGATCCGAGAAGCTTCCGTTTTCGGCGTTGCAAGGCTTCCGTTTTTTGCGGCCACTTTTTGATGTGAAAGGTCTGCTTTCTGTCGCCTTCGTTGATGGAGGGATTTGCTAAGCCATGCAGTAAGGATCCTTCTCGAAATGCCATCAAAGCAGCAAAAGCCGGAAGCCTTCGCACCCTTTTCGCTTGCCTTGCAATCAGGGAATGAGAACTGCGCAATTTTGGGATCAACTGACAACCCCTTGTTGGGGGTGTTTTCTTTTTGTTTGGGCAAAGCGCTTCCAAAATGGCCAACGTTTAGGTATCCTTTGACCCGAGCGAATCGAAGCGCCCAATTCGCATCGATTCGCCAGATGATCTTTCGAAACCCCGGGCCAAGGCGGGGGGCCTTGGGGGTGTTAGGGCCTCGACATGACAAGGGGTGGGAGTCCCAACTTGTTTGTCCGGGTGCCTAGGTTGGTTGGAGGGTTTTCCAGTTTTGTCAATCTTTCCAGTGTTTTTTTTGTTGGGTCAAGATTGCACGGTTCTTTCCATTACTCAGGCCCATTTTGGTGTATGTTTTGAGTTTTAAGGGCACCTTATTTTTCCCCATGGACAACACTGGGGGTCCGGGATACAGCTGGGGTCGACTTCCAAATCGGCACATCTAGCTTATCAACATGGACCCCGACAACCCAATACCACCTTTTTATGATGTCAACTGACGAAGAACAAGCATTTACCCTGGAAATCCTGGTTCTTCAAAATCTAGCCCTAAAAAACCCGGGAATTTGCAGGGGGGAATGGGGAGGGTCCACATTTGGTGTTTCTGAGGGCAGTTTTTTTGAGTTGGTTTAAGGGGAAACGACAAGGCACACCGAAATACATTTTGCCGCCTGTATTTTCACACCTTTGAACCCACTCATTCAGCCGGGTGATTTTGAGGATGCTTTGCTAGTATAGCCCCTTTCGGCCACGGGTGGCAACCCCCTTGACTCACTCCGTGAGTTCCTGGAGTTCATACCTTTGGGGAAGACCATTTGGCTAGGACTCTCGCAAAAGGTGAAGAAACTCCATCTCTCTCTCGCTCTCCCTCTCTCTGGTTATTGAAACCATTTTCGACCAACTGCAGGCAGACTAACATGGACCCAACAAAGCACGCCATTTCTTAGATGAATCTTCTTACGGGGGATGCTCCGTTCTGTTTGGGTTTCAGACTAGCTGGGAGGGGAGTATCTTTTTGTTGAGCTGTGTTCATCACGATGTGTTCGTGTAGTTTTTGGTTACCACCATGGTAAAGAGCCAGGTATTCTCACCTCTAGGCGCTGCCAAGAATGCTTTCCTGGCTACCTGACATGATGAATGGAAGCACTGGGGCTATTTGTTTCTCTTTCTCGGGCCGTCAGCTCAACGGTGGCGAGCACTTTGGGTGAACAATCATCACGTTTTGAATAACAAGCTGTTGTGCTGAGAGATTCCTTATGGGATGTGCAAAGCCTCAACAGACACACCCGATTTCAAGTGTGCTTCCTCGTTGGGGTTTGTTTGAAGGGAACCCTGTGGGATAGCATTCATACAACCATGGCTCAAGAAGTCCGAGGAAAGCATGAACCAATGAATGAAGGACTTGAAGATGTGTGTGTCTGAAATCTCTGTTCAGGTTGTTTCCGAAAACATGAAGGCAGACCCTTATTTTGAGACAAGCCCCAACGATCTGTCACTGTGGCTCCAGACTGCCGTCGCGCCCAAACCCGACAGGGTTCAACTTTTTCGACTCTTGCAACACCGACTTGGAGCTGAATAGGCTGCCCCAAAAAGAGCCGAATGCAGGGAACCCGAAAGTGGTGTTAATCCTTTGGCATCCCTTCAAGCAAAAAGGGTATCATCAAAAGAGTTGCATAGTGATACTGTGATACTCGTAGACAGAAAACACTAGGGGCCTACCCAAGACTATAAACAATATTTTGGAGGGAGTCAAAGGCGGGTTGTCAAACACCTTTTGGACCCTAGCGCCTTGTGCCGCCATTTCCAGGGAACGCCGCAAATCAAATTTCGACAACTTCCCCCCAGCTTATATGCTACAAGCAAAAAGTCCTTCTTGAAGGAGTCGTACAGTCGCAAATTCCGACTCCGACGAATCCAGCAAACGCATGGCTGTCTTTAAGTCTTTGGTGTGACCCCCCAGGCCCCGTCAGGACCTTTTGGAAGCAACGGCTTTTCCGTACAAAACCACTTGCTCGTTTTTGGGAGGGAGCAACCCAGCGAGAGGTGTGTGTGTGTGTTGTGTGTGTTGTGTGTGTGTGTGTGTGTGTTGTGTGTTGTGTGTTGTGTGTTGTGTGTTGTGTGTTGTGTGTTGTGCGTTGTGCGTTGTGCGTTGTGTGTTGTGTTGTCGTGTGTTGTGTGTTGTGTGTTGTGTGTTGTGTGTTGTGTGTGTGTTGTGTGTTGTGTGTTGTGTGTTGTGTTGTGTGTTGTGTGTTGTGTGTTGTGTGTTGTGTGTTGTGTGTTGTGTGTTGTGTGTTGTGTGTTGTGCGTTGTGCGTTGTGTGTTGTGTTGTCGTGTGTTGTGCGTTGTGCGTTGTGTGTTGTGTTGTCGTGTGTTGTGGTGTGTTGTGTGTTGTGTGTTGTGTGTTGTGTGTTGTGTGTTGTGTGTTGTGTGTTGTGTGTTGTGTGTGTTGTGTGTTGGTTGTTGTGTGTTGTGTTGTGTGTTGTGTGTTGTGTGTTGTGTGTTGTGTGTTGTGTGTTGTGTGTTGTGTTGTGTTGTGTGTTGTGTTGTGTTGTGTTGTGTTGTGGTGTGGTGTGGTTGGTGTGTGTGTGTGTGTGGGTGTGCGTGTGTGTGTCTGTGTGTCTGTGTGTCTGTGTGTCTGTGTGTCTGTGTGTCTGTGTGTCTGTGTGTCTGTGTGTCTGTGTGTCTGTGTGTCTGTGTGTGTGTGTGCGAGTGTTGTTTTGATGGCATCCTTTTGTGGGTTGAGGGGAAAACAAAAGGACACTTCTCAAAATTGGGTTTGTCCACTTTGAGACAAACCCAAACATATCTTTGGTTTAACAGGTGCCCCTGTTGAAGCGTTTTTCACTTGGGTGTGGACCAATGTAGACTAGCAGTGGCCCTCGTGGCAGTAAAAGTTTGGTTTGCTTTTGGCCAATCCATTCGCTCGGAAGTGAGCTCCATTTGCTTCAGACCATTTTTCGAAACGTTTTGAGGTCTCGCAGGGAAGCCAGCCGGCAAAATCGGTGTCTTTCGGGGTGCCCCGTCACCTCTGGTGACCCAAGCTCCGGCTCACGGCTCCATTCGGCTCGCGGAGGCGTCGAGCACAAGGCGTGGCAGGAGAGGTCGCGGATCCAAGTCAGAGAGGTGCGGGGCCCGGAGGGGCGGGCGCGAGTTTGCTTGGAGAGCGACTTGAAGCCCAGCTGATATGTATAATATATATATATATATGGTACAGCGTTGCCAGGCCCCCCCCCCCCCCACCAATGGTCATGGGTCAGACAAGTACCCCCCCCCTGTGGTTGTGGTCCTGTGGTTTGGGGGGGTAGCAACACGGAACACGGGACATAACTTATGCATACATATATATATATATATATATGTACAAATACTCAGGTTCTGGCACTTGGGTCACTTTTTGGGGTTTGGACCATTTTGGTGTTTTATTCGCCAATCCGCCCGGGAAGTGAGAAACCGCCTTTTCCGGGTAATGTTGAGGTGGCTGGCGCGTGCCTCCTTAGCTGCGCATTCTGTTTTGGTCTCAAGTGCGAATCCCATGGCCCGGCCAATAGATTCAAGTATCAAGAACCTTCTGCAATGGGCTTGGGTAGAAACAATCCCAAACACTCAGGGGGAAGTAGTGAGGCGTGCACCATACCAGAATGTACAACACCAGTTAGTAAGTAGTTGCTCTTTGGTACCACCTCAGTAGGGTACAACCGGGACCGGGATCACTTGCGAAAGCCTCGGTTGCCACATGGCCCCCAAAGATGTCGAGGCTGCCCAGATGTCTTAGGTGGTTCCTAAGACTGACCCCCCCCCCCAGCACGGTGCAAGCCACACCCTTTTGGACTTTTAGACTTTTGCATACGGCAAGTTGCCAAGTCGTACCTCATGGGGGCTGGGGGGGGTGGGAGGGGAGGGGGAGGCCCTTATTAAGCCCTTAATAAGGCCTTATTTGGGGCTGTTTGAGGCTCCCTCCCCCCTCCCCTCCCTCCCCCCCCCTCCCTCCCCAACCCCCATGAGTACCGCAAATTGCAGGAAGCAGAGTCTCCTATGGTGTTGTCGGTGGTAGACAACCGCAGCCTGAGTTTCAGCTTGCAAACCTGCAGGCGTATGTTTGATGGCTTGGTCGACTCAGTCGGACATGAGGCATTGAACGGCTAGGGCTTTTTGTTGGGTCCATAGGAACATTTTTCTGGGGTCTCCCAACTAATTTTTCGGGGGACCCCCTGGATGTTGAGAATCTCACTTGAAGGTCTCATGGCGACCATGTTCGCTGCTGTTCTGATGACTCTTCCTTCCGCGGCACCCAGGTTTGTGAGCCACCCTGAACAATCAAGATCCCATGGCGTTTGGAGTACTAGGAGGTGTGTTCAAGGGGCGCGGCGTGGGGTCCACATTAAGCCCAGGGGTTATTCGCCTTGGCATGAGCGTTTTGCGTCAGTATGTCAGGTAACCCTTGGTTTGGATTGGTGGTTTGGGAATTGAAACCCCACTACCTTTTGACACCAAAAGGGCAAAAGCACCCCAAGCATCCAAACCATCTAGAGGGAAGCTGAGTATCACTGGTTGGGCTTGAGCCGTCGGTCCAAGGCTCACAGCGAACGGCCAAGAACGCTGCCCAGCGCTCGGCGTTTTCCCCCTGCGGATGAAGTTTGGAAATCAGAAGCCATCGAAAGACGCATCACTCCCCAAATGAACGGAAGGAACGCACAAAATGGGTTCCCCAAAGGGAGGCCCCTACAAAAATGGGGTTTTTTGGGCTTCATGTGAAGCTGAACGTATCTATTTTCCGGGGGAGGGGTCTTGAAACTAGTACCATCCTCCGGATTAATCTGAAGTTAGCATTTGTCTTTTGCTCTGGGTTGGCAGAACAAATTGTTGGAACCCAATTGTTTACTGAACGCTTGGGTAGGTGGGCTCTTACACTATGGGAATGTGTCCATGTGAGGTCATTTGTAGACTGCAAGCACTGCTGCAATCTTGTGGTTTGCCGTCAGGTACACGAACCCCAAACAGAATTAGAATTGGAGGCTACGTCCCCGACTTCATTGGGGCCACAATTAATGCTGTCCGCTTCTCTCAAGCTCTTAGTCCTTTGAAGCTTCAATGCGCTTTGAGTTTACTCAGCATGGAGAAAGCAGGGAGATGGGTTGTATAGGTTCGAGCCAGTAGGGGTACACCAGGGGTGCATGATGATCGTGCTTCTATCCTGCATGTCCTCACTCCCTGAGTTCGACGTTTGAACTTTTTGGGACCAGTTTAATGGCAAACAACCACTTTGGACTTTTTGTTGGCCCTCGAAGTCTTCGTGTCACCTGTGTCTTCTCCCCGTAGAAAATGGTTCACCCTGGTGCGATGCTGGGATCCATGATCCTACGCCCTGGTCATCCGATTTGATGAGATTTTGATTGCCATGCCATCAACCCCAAGGCCTCTGGTGTCATAACAAAAGTTCCGGATACTTACCGCTGGAGTCTTGGGCTACGCCGGGAATTCGTCGGTGGCGAGAAACTCCGACAAAACCTCGTCGGCTTGCAGTTTGTTTATAGAGGACATGGGCCACAAACTCTTCCGCGTTGCGGAAAGTGAGGACCCGGAAGCGAGTTGCTTTGGGAACCTGCTTGGACACACTCCGAATATTGGGCTAACACACGGTCCGTGGGCTTTGGGTTGTAGACAATCTCACTTGTTCTGTGATGCGAGGCCAACCTCTCAAAGTGATACAGTGGTCGTACTCCACTGTCTCAGAAAGGGGCATTTTTCCACAAGCACGGCGAGAAGCATTCTCAACGTCTCTCAAATCTCTAGGCCTACATACCCTTAGATGGTGCATATGGCTTTCCCTTCACAAAATCCAGAAGCTTGGGTTTGCCGACTCGCGAGCCTCCGGATAGCGAGCCTACTACTCATGGAGGCATTCTGCAGGGCTTCTTCTGGGGTATTGGCAGCTTGTTGCTGGGACGAGAAGGGAGGACCCAACAATTTCTCGAAAAAGCGAGGGGACGGCCGGATGGTCCCAAAAGCAAAGGGTACATACAACCCAATCCACCCCCTGCCCCGCGAAAACGACAAACCAGAGAACAACCCAATTTTCCCCCAAGCCATGGTAGATGGACAAATCTTGCACCAGTTGGAGGCAAATCCGAGCATTCATAGGGTTTCATCCATCGCCGGATTTTGTCCATCCACAGGACCAATCTGGTGTGTATTGTCTTTTTGGGGGACCCCACCCCCCGAAAAGAAAACATAAACAGCTTAACAAACAATCAAATGTTGGTTTCACCTTTAAGTACCCTCCTAAAAAGACACACCCAATTTTCTCACGCCTTTTTGGGGAAAGCCGTTCCGCTGCGTCCGACAAAAGGTGCCCTCCCGGATCAGCCGGAGTCTTCTGACAGCCAGCCCTCCACGTCCACCGACAGGCGGTTTTCGCCTTTCCGATCGAGCGACGCTTGGGCTTGACGAAAATTGGAAGTGTCTCTACATGGGAACCCCCAAAATGGGTGCGGTTTGAGGGTAGCCTTTCTTTGGGGTTTAAAAAGAGGAGCAGGCAAACCGCCAGTTCGTGCCTTAAAAGGAAACCCCCCAAATGCCCGGTGTGCGTTTAGTGTTTTGAACCGACCTAAAAAGGTTTTCTCCAGATGACACATGTGCAGCAAGCCCTCCACAAGCCAACTAAACCGAGAGGGTACCTGAGTTTACCACTACCATCACTTTGGTTTTAACCCCCCATTCTCATTATACAAACCCCTCACATGAGTGGCACCTTCGATCTGGTCGAACGCGCCTTGTCGTTGATGGAAAGGAGTCGGGACCCTCAACTTTGGGAGAATGGATCAGAGCAAAGGCCATGAGTATATGGGTGCCTCTTTTTGAGGCGGTACCTGTTTTGTGCGGTTTTGAAGCAACACCGAAAGGACCATCATTTTGGGGGGTCCCTTAAAAGAAGCACATCCATATACAACAGAACGCATTTGCGTAGTTAGCCTGAGGCTTAAGAAAGCATAGCATGAGGTTGGGCGCATGAAAATTCACAAAGAATGTCATGCTGGGGGCAGGTGTGAAATGCTTTGGCTCCGATTTGTGCCCCTGGGCAATTTTTGGAGAAGCTTTTTGGCCGAAGCAATCGATCGACTCCATGGGTTCCAGAAGGTTCCCAGTCTCTCAGCGAGCCAGGAGATTGGATTCAAGTCCTTTTTTTTTGGGTATTTGGAAATCCAAGTCAACTGTAGAGTTTCTGAAGCTTTGAATGAATCTATCCATCGAGTTTCGGGAGAGGTTCGGTCGGCCAAGGTCAACAAAGCTTTTGATTTTTCAGTGGCATCCTTTATTCACCCACCCATTCACATGGAGCCCACCATGATTTTGCCAAGAAAATAATGGATTCTTCACGTTTTTGTTCTGCTAAATCCCGCAGGGATCGGCTACTGAGTTTTCATATGGGTGATTATGACTGTGTCTTTTTAGGGGACCCCCAAAATGTGGGGGGGGTGGGGTGATTTTTGGGTTCCCTTTAAACCACCAAAACACAGGTACCCTCAGTATGCCCTCATTTAAGAAACATATGTCGCCAGGCAGGAGACCGAAAAGACAGAATCGCCTCGGCCCTGGCTGAAATGGTACAGATTTAAATAAATCTATGTCAAGCGCCTGTTCCTTTTAAACATCACCAAGAGGTTGTTTGTTCTCATATGTTTATGGGATTGCTCGGATTAGTTTTTGGTCCTCTAGATTAATCCAATGCTGACGCACAAGCGATGTTTAGCCACATGATGGAGGTCTGTCCATTCCTTGCTTCTGCTGAGTGGAGATCAATAGGACAAGGTCCTTTTTTATGGTGCTTGAGGGAGCCTTCCTAGCATGTGACCGTCACCCCCCTAACATGTCGATGAGTTTGGCTCTAGATGTCCGATGAGCTTCCTTCTGATGTTATGTCCTTGTGATGTTAAACGCAAAGACTGGTTTAAGACAACAAGTGGTCAGACCTTTAAACCAAAGATCAAAGGGGATGTAGAAGGAATCCTGGCACGGGCAAATCGATACCACCACCGGGTCCCCTGGAAACTATCGGTTTTTCGCTTGCCACGGAATATGTCCATTGCGGTAAGATGTAGACCCATCCAATCCATTAACTATGTATTTATCTTCCTCCACCCGCCGTCTCGCGGTTAAAAGTGGAGGAAAGAGGAAACAATAAGTGATCCAGCCATCTTTCAACGGCTGGTCCTATATCTCTTACTCTCATACCCACTTGCCACCATTGTATCGGTCAACCTGTATCGCAAGGCACGAATTCCCGGGCTTGAAAAATACAGCAGGCATTTTCCTTGAACTCATGTGTTTTGGGTCAGCCTTCCCTTTGGTTCAAAGGTCTGACCATTTGTCTGACAATACGGGGGCCCGCAAAATGGTTGGCTTTCGCTTTGGTTTCCCTGCACCTTTCGCCTCAAATGGAAACCCCACTGCACGATTCGGACGGCAGGTGGCACAGGAATCCCCCTGTTCCCCTGGAGCACCCTCGGAGGTACGGCCTCCGTGTCCACATAGCCCTTGGAAAGGAAAGCCAGAGGAGCTACCATCATTTCGTTGTAGTTGTTTTTGGAGCTTTAAAATAAGGCATTCAATTTGTCGAAAGGGGGGACCCTGTGGAACGAAATCTGAACGTCGTTTTCTTGTACCCCTTTAGGTCAAGTTTCAGGAGTTCCAAGTTCATTTGCCGGGGAGGTGTATCTTTGCCCTTTGCGACAATGAAGATGGAAAAACAAGTCCTAGATTACGGCTGGGGATACATGCCCCTTGTTACTCCGCCAGTGTGATTAAACGTATACTCTGCGAACAAAAAGGATACTGGTCCAGTTGGCTGGAAGACCCTGGGGCGAATGGGTATGTCACTGGGTCTAATCAAAGGACTTCCACACTGAGGGTGTTTCTATTGCCCCCTGAGAATCGAAATTACCCAGAAATCAGGTGTCTCTTAGTTGGTGGTTTGGATTGGTGGTTTGGGGACTTGAACCCCTGGTTCTTGCTTAGCCACCCAAACTACCATTGGAAGAAAGCTGAACAAATGGTCAAACAAATCAGGGTGCAGCAGACTGGTCCCGGTGAGTATCGCCGGGCGCTATAGCAACACCCTTGGACCACTCCATCCACGGGGAGGTCTCTAGTTCATGACACGGCGCCCGGAGCGGTCCGAGTCCCGCCCGAGGTTTGATGACACTGACGATGAGTGGTTGTACGAGCCCATCGACGCTCAGGCAGCGTCTCCCTTGTGTTTGCACTCATTGTTGGACTTACCCCTTACACCCAATACCAATACCCTTGTTTTCAGGATATGATGTTACATGATGTCACTCCTTGACTAAAAAAGGAGGTGTTACTCTGGAAAGCCAAGCAGTTGTCTTAACAAACAGGTATTAGGTTACCTGGTTAACTTTCAGCCTTTTCGATTGTTTGTCAATGTGACTTCCAACCATCGACCATTTCGCTTTGGTCTGGCCCGATCTTTTCGAGAAGTTGGGTGAACACGCGCGATCTCGACCCCTGGATGAAGGCCCGTAATATGAGGTTTTCTTGATTCAGGTTGTTGACATCTAGGAAGTGCAGATGGGTTGCTTCAGACAGGTACTTGCATTTTTGAATATGTCGGAAAGCAGAAGTGTCAAGAAGGATGACTCAGGTTTCCCGGTGAAATGTGAAGCGAAATCGACGGAACCCTAAGAAACAAGGAACCCTAAGGAGCCAACCCCAAAGAGTCCCAGGAGCCCCAAGGAGCCCTAAAGAACACCAAGGAGCGCCAAGCACCCGAAGGACCCCGAAGGAACCCTAAGCCCCAAGGACCCTATGTAGCCCAAAGGAAATACCTCCCCGAATTCGTGGAAAAGGGCCATGTTCTGGAAATGACATCGATCGACCCCTCCAAAGAATGGAGCGAAAGCGGGGGAAGTAGCCCAAGTTCGGGTTGTAAAGGAAAACAAAAGGAGCCTCTCCATCCCCCGAGTATCCTGTTGGGCCTTGGCATAACCCGGAGTCTGGCAACAGCTGGCCGGAGTTGCGCGGTGAGCGGCCACGGAGTCCGGTCACACACTCCAAACACCTGCTTGTGTTAGGGCATGGTGTCACCCCCTGACCAACAGAGGAGGTATTTGACTTGGAAAGCCCGTTCCTTCTTTTCTTTTAACCATATGCCCAAGAACAAGTTGGTATGTGGAAGGGTAGCTTCATGCGGGACTTGAGTCATAGACTTCAGCTGGCGGACGCGGTTCGTTTATCTGTGCAAGTCAGCAACCAGCTCGCCGATTCGGGTGTAAATCAAACTCAGCCATGAAGGTCCCTTGCTTGCGGTTTCTTTACGTGCGGGTTGTTTGTTGTTTGCCCGGAGTCTGTGCTTCAGGACAAACGGGGCGTTGAGACGTCGCTGAAAGCTCACCCTTACTTTGGGGTTGATCAGTTGTTACAATGTACCCAGACATATTCAAACAAGGGAACCCCAACGTGGATGGTTGTCCTTTTGGTTTCCCTTACCAACCCCAAACAGGTAAAGCCCACCAAGCCACCATTTCTAGGGGACACTCCGTGGGGGAAACTTTTTTGGGTTCCTGCCGTTGGGGAGTATCCCCGTGAAACGGAGCAATTGATCTAGGGTTTGATTCCCCATTCTGTTCAACCATCGCTTCTTTCCAAGAATCGGCCGTTTTCCCCGGGTTTCCGCAGGTTTTCTAGAAAGAAGAATCCCTGGAAGGAATGGGGAAGGTACCCCTAGAATTGATGTTCTTTTCCCCCGAAGTTGCAAAGTGTAGACCCTTCCGATTGACAAAACCTCTCCGAATGCACAAGGGAAAGGCGAGCGAAAACCCGGTTGCAAGGGGGAAAAAGGCAGGTCAAGGTGGAAGAAACAGGAGAGGTTATTCACAATGTACGGAGGGAGATTAATCCCATGCTGTTTATCCACGGGGTAGGGATGTTTGGCGTATTTGGAGGCTGTGAGCAGGTGTCAAAAGTCGGTCAGATCCTTGTGGCTGTATTTTGAGAGGGAAATGAGCAGACGACGCCAACCGCTTGCAAGAGTCGGGTTCCCCAAGCTGACGCACCACCGCCAATTGGGTGTGGCTCAAAATTACACAGGAGGGGTTACGCAGGTTTTGGTCCATGTTTCCACTATTTTGGTACCGGTTTTTTGAGCCACAGGCAATTGATTATCTTGCGCAGTATCCTACCTATATGATCAAGAACACGCCGGGCGCTCGAACTCATCCCATCCCGCACGAGCGTGTGCGCTTCGATAGCGGCTAAAGTTGGTTGGTCTCATGTCGCAGACACCCCGTTTTGGAATTGGCAGACATGGTGCCCTATGCCTTTCACCAATTGGAACCAGGACCCCTGGGCCCGGCTGAGGATTTTTCACCTTTTTTTAGGAGAGCTTGCAGGGCCCTGGCGGCTTTCAGTTATTGGGTTTGGTCCAATTTGTTCCATTTTCCGAAAGCTCACTCCAACCCTTAGAAGCGCACACTGATACTTTCCAGGACTTGAGGGTTTCCAAAATTAGGGTGGCTATGGCAGGGTTTGTCTTTCCGTTTACCTTTGAAATCAAAAGATGGGGGCCGGCGAGTTCCTCTGCTCAATGCCGTAAACATGGCGTGGCCCAGTGGCGCACTGGGGCGTCCATCCTTTCCAACAGAAACCAAGTCTTGTCTTCCGAAAGGAGTTGTGCACTTACCAAAGCGTCGACAACTCCGGGCCTTTCTCTTGCCAGGAACCAAATGATATGATGCTCAACGCAATGATGTACACTGGGTTAGCGTTCGGCAACATCTGAGACACGGTTGCCTTGACAAACGTGGCAGTTGTGTTGAATGGGGACCAACTCCAAAGAGGTTGGTGGACCTGAATCCCCACCGAGTTCCGATGTCCACCCCAGGGGTTCCTTATTCAAATTCACACCCAACTGATGATGGTAGAACCTATTTGTGTTTCAGGTTTAAGGTTGCACACTGGGATACACTGTTGCATCGGGCATCGGTATTCACCTTTCCGGCCGCGGAGAGTTTTGTCCACCTCTCAGCAGAAGACCTTTCCGTTTTTTCTTTTTTTTTTTCTCCGGGGTCATTGTTTTGACTGTTTCTGGGGGTTATCAAAGTCAGACACTGCACTTGGTGGTCTTTTTTCCCATTTAGCCTACCACTTATGGGCCGACATTGATAGTTGTGAAGTAATGTGGCGAGTTTTTGATCCCAGTCCTGGCACAGTAGGAAACCCGCGAAAACCATGGCAATGGCAACCTAGCAAACAACACCAGGTTCCTTTTGTGGCAACTGGAAGCACTGGGGATGGACTTTGGACTTTGGACCCCGTTGCTTGAGTGCGCGTCTGAGGTTCCTGGAATTTGGACCCGATGCGTCCCCACGTGGCTTAAAGAAAGCTTCGGCCTCGGCTCGGTTGGAAGGTTGCTATCTTGTCGATGGGCCCGAAAAGAGTCATACTGGACGGATTTGTTGCTTTTGAGGGGGACATCCTCCATGTTAATTTACAAGGAAGTAGGTGGCTTGGAGTCCGGCAACAGGTTTTTTTCACGTGCAATGCTGCTTCTAGACCTTAACCTTATTAGTTGTTGATTCCTTCTGCGCGTGATACACATAGGTGTTGATGTGTGCCAGCAGCTTCAGGCATGACTGACATGTACTATGACATCCTAGTACATCCCTAGATTAAAGATTGCCGGTTGGCACATTCCGGGGGAGCAAAAGGGAAGATCTTGAAACTTAAGTTTCAGGACTGCCACATAAGGAGAGTTACACTTGTGGGCAGAGCCCTCTGCATTTTACATTCACGACTGCAAAAAACTAAACAAATTATACCGAGTCCACTGGCCTCAGGCGAGCCCCAAACCCCAAATAACGAGGCGGTTTTCGAAATAAAAGTTTCTCAAATTTGTTGGGTTTTGTTTGGCGCACCGGGCTTCATCTTCGATGGCTAGCACTCCAAGTGTGGCGAGGTGTGCGAGAATCCGACTCCTGAAAAGACAAATGATTGATAAACTCCGACCCCTGTTTTCATTGAGACGGGCATCAGGTTCTCCAAAACCTCCGGCCGTTCTTTGTCTCTCATTAAGACTGGCATCAAGTTCTCAAAAACCAGCCGGTTCTGCTCATTTAACCCTAAACATCTTGAAAGCACACAGGTTTGAGAAAGTCCGGCTCTTCTCTGTCTCATTACGAGTGGCATCAGTTTCTCAACAACCAGCCGTTTCCTGCTGAGTTGGCCTTCAAAAGCTTGAAAACACACGCACGTTCCAGACATCAAGTTCTCAAGAACCAGCCGGTTCTGCTTATTTGGCCCGAAAAAAATTGAACACACACATGTTTGATGAGAAAAAACGGTTGCAGCAATGCACCTGCCTCAACCCCCCTTCCAGTTTTGCACTCCTGTTTTTTAAGAGGCAAGGAAGGCCCCGAAATACGAGGTGCGAGGTGGACCCTTAATTTTGCGAGGTAGATTTTGTTTAAAAGATAGTTCGAGGTACGAGGTAGAAATTATTATAATTTGCAAAAAATGAAGCGTATACTAGATAGGAAGAGCCCTCCATCGCAAGCACTCACCGGTCTGCTTTTGTGGGGTAGATGGACAAGCCAAAAGGAATGTGGGTACCTCATACATTGCATGTACTAATATGTACATGTCGCTCTCCCCCAAAAGAAACAAAAACAACATGCACGTGTGTTTGGGTCAGCTTCAAAGCAGAGCAGAAGCTCCCGACCTGTAAAGTCCATCTACATCCTCATTCAGTTCTATATAGCATGATGTTTGGAAATCGATTCCTATCTAGGATATGTGGTGCTTATCTAATTTGATAACTGTCCATCAATGTCTATTCAGCATAACATGGGAATAGTTGAAAGGCCGTTTCAGTTTCGAACCAAATCAGTTTTACCCGATCGCATCTCGTTCACATATATATATATATATATATACACATTTCGAAACACAATGTTCTGGAGACAAGACATTGACATTGCTTTTGAAACTAGACCAATGCCAACGTCAAAAGGGTTTACTTTCCTTATTCGATGCCATTTAAGTAAGCACGAACTGAGCCAAGCCATCAACATATACAAGCGCGTACCTGCTCGTTTGCAAACCACGCAGATTCCCTCCCATCAAACCGGGGCAAACTGGGCAGCGCATGTCATTTGTTCTGAGTCAAACAAGGGGGCTGCATATTCAAGAAACGCTTCAGACGTTTTGGAAACACGTTCAAATTTCTTAAGACTGGATCCAAGATGCAAGCTTGCACTTTTCAGAGCATCTTGGATCTTGGATTCAGCCCCAAAAGGCCTTAACACTTTTAGACAATTTGACGTTTTTGTAAGGTTGCTCTTCTCGATTTCCTGAGCAGTTGTTTTGTGCAATCTTGGATTTTGGATCCTATTTTTCCAACACCTTTCTTTGGATCTTGAATCCACCCAATAAATCTGATGGGGCGCTCACCTCGTGCAGGTGTCCATAGCCAGCAGGAACTAGAACCGCATTTGAGTCAGAGGGTTCTACCACCGATGCCACGAATAGATATAGCACCCCCACCCGGGGCCAAATATACTGGAAACCATGGCGTTGGTCAGCATTGTTCCTGTCGTGGTTGACCCCTCAAAAATGATGGGCAACTGGGCACTTCCTAGATCGAACAAGGAGGCCCTCCATATGTAAAAACATGGCCGTCTCTCGAATCAAATTGTACTGGTGCCATTGCTGTCAGGTTCAACCAGTTCTCTCTTTGGAGTCTCCCAGCTTGTCCCTTTGCCGAAATCTGATGTTCAGTTCTTTCTCCTGGGTTTGAAAGGGAACTTATCACTGGGAGTAGTTTTTGTTTTGCTTTCTTGAAGACTTGAGTAACTGGAGGGATTTATTGATATTTTTTAGGCTAGTTAAATGTGACAAACAATACGAACACATTATTTTCTGTGATCTCTTTTTTCGTGAGCCAAGCTTTCTCTTTCCAACCGAAACTGCTTGCAATTGAGCTTCTTACTTGGTACGCCAACCCTCTGATTGTTTTGTTTTCCCTTTGCCGGGAAAGGGTGTTCCTTTTGCTTAGCCCTGGCACAGGGCTAGCCAAAGGCAGGCCTGGGTTGGTTGGTTGATTGCTTGGTTGGTTGGCTGGCTGGTCGGCCTGCGGCACAGCCTGGCACGCACGACAGGGCAAGATTTAAGTCTACAATTCAGGGTGGGCTACGGGTAGGTTTCGGGTTGGGTTTAGGGTCTTATCCTCAACCACCTGACATGGACCCTAAACCTAACCTACCCCAATCCCACCCTGCACCCACCCTAAACCTAGCCTAAACCAACCCTAAAGCGCCCCTGTTCCCGTAGCCCACCCCAAAATGTAGACTTAAATGCCGCCCTTTCGTGCGCGCCAGGCCGTGCCATAGGCAAGCCTCCAAGGCTTCGTCAGCCCTTGACCCTGGTCATCCCTGGTCCTTCAAGATCACCTTTGATTTCTCGGGTCTCACTGCCTGCGTTGCTGGACTTTGATGGTGCAAGTTCTGTGAGAGTTTTACTCCGGGCTTTGCTGCAAATCCACTCAAGAGGCGACGTGTCATTTGGCATGTGCTCGGCAATGTGAGAAGCTCCCGAGGTGCATACTGCTGCCGGCCGCTTGGAGAAGATGGCCGAGTTTGTGGAATGCTGACCGAGGCGGTCACCAGATTCCTTCCGGGCTGAAACCTACTGAATTCACATGGGTGCTGGGTTTTGTTCGGGTGTTTGGCGCCCGGGATTACATGGATCTGCCTTTTTTGAGGGAACCCGCAACATAAGTGGCTTCCGTTTGGCTTCGCTTTAAACCGACCCGCCAAAAGGGTATCCTAAAACCAATAGACACTCCTACCTGATTACCCAAATCGGGAATGGGTCTCAGACCTCCAAGTGCAAATCCTTTCGGAAGGGGTGCGGTTTCCCTTGCAAATCAACTAACCAAACAACAAGTGCCCCGTTTTCCCCCCATCCACAGGTCTGGGATAGAGAATCGAACATATTCCAGGAGTTGTTCGGCGAGTGTGGGCCTCAATAATTATTTGGAGGTTGCGGGAATTTGTTCTCTAAGCATCATTCGGTCCATTGGAGGGGTCTGGATCTCCACAACGTTGGTCCTGGAAAAGGCCCTTTTTGAGGTCTCAACACTCTTAGGGTTTGTTGAACCCGAGTTCCATTTGTTTGTCGCCCAGAATAATTTAAGCCCAGATTGAGTTGCCCAAGAGGGGTCGAGCCTTGCCCCTTATGGTTGATAAGGGCACCAAATTTTGGTGTCGGAGATTTGGGACACATCAACTCCTCCAAACCCTTTCCCTGGTTAGGGGGGGGAACAGGGGGGGGGAACACCCAAGTGTCTGAACTTGTTTATTGGTTTCCAGCGGTAAAACATAAGTTTAGACTTTCTTTGGTCAATCCACTCAAGATGTGAGTTTGTTTGCTTGCATCTTCCCTTGCAACCAGCAAGTTAACTTTTTGCAGGTCCCTGACACGTACCCAGTTCTGTGGCATTTAGTCGTTCCGTTGGTTTGGGTTGTCGTTTGGGTTGTTTTTATTGGCAAGCCGCCTCGGCAGCTTGGCTTGTGCATGTTCTGTTTTGTTGTTTGCAGCCCAGTCATTTCAAGTGGTTCCTATGGTGCGTAAAGATCACTTGACACAAGGACACCCCAAGAGTGGCCCACCCATTTCCTGCTTGAAATCTCCAAATCTGCGCCGCACCTTTTGGACCTCTTAGGCTGACTGATTGCTACTCACTCTGTCGCGCAGGCCATGAACTATGCGGTTTTCAGCACCAAACCAGGTGTTCTTAGACTACTGGCTGGTGTGGGGCGAGCAAATGAGCAGGGGTTCTCTATGTTACCGCAAAGCAACGAGCAACCGCACGAACGGGGAGGGTTTCCAGCTTTACATCCATTCTAAGCAACTTGGCCCTTGTGCTTCCCCTGTTTCTGAAGGCAGCAAGCATGGGGAGTTGGTTGGCTCCTGTTAAGGGGTTTCCACCTGTGATGCCATGGTTGAGTGGCTGAGCTGGCTGTCTGCCTGTTTGTCTCTGTCTGTCTCCGTCTCTGTCTGTCTCTGTCTGTCTCTGTCTGTCTCTGTCTGTCTCTGTCTGTCTCCGTCTGTCTCCGTCTGTCTCTGTCTCTGTCTGTCTCTGTCTGTCTCCGTCTCTGTCTCCGTCTCTGTCTCCGTCTCTGTCTCTGTCTCTCTCTGTCTGTCTGTCTGTCCTTCTGCCTTGTCTTGTCCCATCTGTTCTGTTTGGCCTCCTGTCCTGTCCGTCCGGTTCTGTTCTGTCCTGTCTGTTTGCCTGAGCGTCTGGTCCTGTCTGTCTGGCCTGCTCCTGTCTGTCTGCCCGTCCATCCGGTCCTGTCCTGTCCTGTCCTGTCTGTCTGCCCGTCCATCTGGTCCTGTCCTGTCCTGTCCTGTCTGTCTGCCCGTCCATCTGGTCCTGTCCTGTCCTGTCCTGTCTGTCTGCCCGTCCATCTGGTCCTGTCCTGTCCTGTTTTGTCTGTCTGCCTATCTGTTTGCCTGCCTGAAGGGGGGCACGCCAGACTTGTATGGAAACCCAGTCTCAGATAGTTCCCCCTGCGAGCGGGCCCCTATTAATCTTCAGGGGGAGCCTGTGGCTTCCGCCGTTCAGGCCCTTTGGTTTCGCTCCCAAATACTCCCCCGCAATGGATTACCCAAACGTAGCTTCCTCTTGGAGCTTGCTGGGTTCCATGTTATACCTGCAGACACGAGAAAGGGTCTGCGAGTTATAACGACGTCACTGAGGTTTGCGACTTCACCCAAAGTTGAGGTTTCTTTCATAGGGATCCCTGCAGTCTGGTGAATTGCGATTTGCGGGTTTGTAAAAAGGCTTGGGATACATGATGTGTTTCAACATGGAGCAACCCACAAGCCCAAGGCATCTCTTTGTTCGTTCGGCAGGCAGGCACAGTTGAGCTCGTGGGGTGGCCCAGGGTTTAACCCGAGACGAAGCAAACGGCTGTGGCTTCTGTTTCTCCCATGGGTTCAAGGAGTATTGGCCATGGCTGGTCAGTGCTTCTATATTTGGGAATTGCTCAAAATTAGGGATTCCGCCAGGTGGTTGGTTTCTCTTTTGCTTCCCTTTGCCATCTCAAAAGGGTGCCTCTATTTTTGAGATAGACCCATTTGTTGAGAGGGAAATAGGGTTTTGAAGGGAATTGGCATGAACGGTATAACTTTCCCCCATTGATGGATTCGGATTGGCCAACACTCCGCCTTGAACATTCCGGCCAGGCAGTTTTGGGTTTCTTCTTGTGACTACAGAGCCGACCACCAACAGAACCAGTAACATGGTCTTTTTTAACTAGAGGGTGACTTGTAGTGGTTGGGAGAAGTCATGACTCCACATTTGTCTCATTTTGGTGATTTTAGGGGTCCCCCACGCGCGGAAATGGAAGTTGCGGGTCAAACTGCAGGACAACTTCATTTGCAGAAGGGGGAACAGTGAAAGAAAGACGGCCAAGCCTGGATCTTCTCCGATAGCATGTCAGAAAAGTCGAGGTTGACCAACAATGAAACAGATTTGGGTCTTGAAAGCGGTTTCCAGTGGCTCCCCTTCAGTCAACGTTTGAGTCCACACTTGGGGCGACTGGGGACATCAGGTTCGGAAGATGGGGATGTCGTAGATGTGCGTTGCGGGTAACTTTACCGGGGTAGACTTAGGATACATTTTACATTTTACCAGTGACTCCAAGTGAAGCAATCAATAGAATATACATTCTATAACTGGGCCTAACTCTAATCATGTTTAGCCACCATGTCTCAGCATGGCCAGGCTTTATCTAGCCTTCGCCCTGTGCCCTGAGTTTTCATTTTCACCTAAGGTACCCTTCCTTCCACCAGACCGCCCCCTTTCTGGAGACCTGGCAGGCAGAAAGAACCAACCTCTATATGGCTGTGGGTCAACACCAATGGTGCCATTTTGGGGGCACCACCCATTTTAGTCTATTTTAGTGGGGATTGGGATGTTCACACGGGGTACGGGCTTTTGACCCATTGCCATATAGGCCTGTCTTTGTTTGGGGTACCCTGGAAGCCAGGCTTGGTGGGCAAACGGCAGTTCCTCGGCCTAAAGAATGCACCCCCAAATTCACGGACCGAGCGAGGCAGAGCCAAGTTTTGGTGGAGGCGGGATTGGCAGAGACAACCTGAGCTCCTGGACTTTACGCCTATTGGGGAGAGCATTTTAGTGGCGAACAAAAAGTTCCTACCTTTGCTGGGCCAATCGACTCTGTAAGTGAGAATCTGAGTTTGTCCTTTCTTTGGGCTGGTGTTAAAGGGAACCCAACATGAAGCCAGCTGTTTTCGGGTTTCTCCTGATTTTCAGACAAACCGAATGGGCATTGGTTTTAGGTGGACCTACAAAAACACAACTCAGAGCAATGGTTTCTCTTTAGGTGATGGGTCTAGTCCCTATGGGTCTTTGGGTGATGACATTGTCGGGCAGTCAAGTCTATACATTGTACATATGAATATATATATATATATATATATCATATTATACACATGTATGTTATTGTTCTTGCAACAAGTTGGGGTGTAACACAACTAATCGAAGGGTACCCACCCACGTTTCCTTTTTTTGGAGGGCAGGAAAGGCAGTACATTACCCTGAGTTGGGGGGGCAAGTTATTGTGAACGCTTCGCCTTGCCTGCCTCGGCCAGTCTGCTTTTGGCTGGTTTGGAGGTGTTTTGGTTTTCCTTGAAGTGTTGCGTTTGTTTGAGTGTGAGCAGGTTCCTCGATATATGGTGGGTGCATGTTCGCGCACGAGAGCCGCAGTTGGAGTTCTACAGCAGTGGACTGGTCCCAGTCTTGTACCGATTTAGTGGCGGTCGCGGCAGTCCATGCAAGCCAGTGTTGATTTTTGGCTTCCAGAAATGCAGATATGCGGGTGTTTCTCTAAATGGCCCTGTTGTTGGATAGTCTTGCAAGAAGCCAAAAGAAAGATATGCCCATATGGGGGGGCCCTCTTTGTGAGAAACGCCCGAACCAGCCCACGCGTTCGACCTGGCAGGTTCGTCGAAACTGTTTGTGCCAGGCACTCAGCTTGCCCACCGCCCCAAAAAGGGTCCAGCTCTGGCTTTGGATTAAAAAAACATCAGGGAAATGGCAAAGACCCGATTTGTATACTGGTTGATAAACCGCCTGCCAAGAGGTGCAGAATTGCGTCGCCGACCTATCAGCAACCTTTTGTTGGGCTTGATTCGGCTCGGCTGCGGCACTTAACGTAGAATATTGGCAGCGGCAAGCCTTTGCAGACCAAACCTATCAGCATGATTGATCCGTGCAGGTGCACCCTGTTGCAGGATATTGTCTGGTCTGTGCACATTGAAAGTGGGTTTGTCTCAAAAGGCGACCCCTAAAATGGGTGGTTTGTTGGTGGGGTGCTATCATCAACAGCTCCAGAACGACCCCCAAAGCCTGCGAAGAACTCTCCCGCCGTTGGCGGCTTGAGTTTCGGAAATCATAAGAGCTTGCGCGAATCCTTGGAACATGGACCTAGTGGTATTCTTCAACGTCACACATCTACCCATCCAGAACAGCAAGCCACTATAGCCCCTTCAAAATCGGACCCGTTGGGAGCTTAATTGCAGTACATGACTTAAAAGGAAGCGACCCAACTTTTGGCGGTC